GGCACACTAGTGTGCCGCGGAACACCGGTTGGGAAACACTGTTCTAGACATTATAGAAATATAGAATGGACTCTTCTCCACCACACTGGCAGTTTTAGGAAAGGAAGGCTTTCCCCTTCCTATATGTCCATCAATGTAGGCTTTTATTGCAGAGCCAAGAGGAAGCCCAACCCAGCTAGACCAAAACTGGCCGCAACATGCCCAGCTAAGGCCACTCTCCACTGCCATCATCTGGTGCAACAAGGAAGCGGCTGCTTCACCCAGCTGCAGGAAGGCCATAGGTATGCAGGCCCTGCGGAAAAACACTCTCCAAGTCATCAGTCACCTGACGCAGTGTTCCTCCTTTGGCTAAACAGGTAAAGCTTAGAGACAGGGCTTGCCAAATTATTGGAGTACTACAATATATCCAAAACAATGGGAGAAATTGGAAGGATCTCAAAAGAGAAGATAGACAGGGATTGGAAGGTGTTTAAAGGATACTTACAAAACAATATTGAAAAATCAGAACTCCTATTAGACTAAACAAGTTCCGTTTTAAATACTGAAATACTAAATAAGATGGGTAACAATGTGTAATAGAAAAAGAAGCATGAAATTAGGTTAAAGGTGTGTGAAAGAAATTAATAGAAGTGGGAAGAAATTGCAATTGAGTAGATTGGAAGTCTAACACAAAGGTGGGGTGAGGGGTGGTGGATGGCGATGGGAAAAGGAATTATCTGTGGGATTGAGTGTAGGTATGTTTGTATATATTTAAGGATTGTATGAAATGTATGTTTGTATGCTTGTATATTCGCAATATGTGTGTATTTTATAATAAAAAATAATTTTTAAAAATAGAGACAGGGCTGTAGACAGCAGGCACCAGCTGGCTCTCTCTTCACATAACACATACGGAGACAAAAAGTTACAGCAATGTTTGGCTTTTCTCTTCTTATAAGGAAGCCTTGAGGCTGTGGCACCACCATCTTCTGGGAGTGAATCGCAGAACGACAAGCGCCAGGAAAAAGCATTTTCAGAAAGCTGAGTGGCAAGTTTGAAATCGCAGTGGTTTCAGACACCTCTTTTGCCTTTGGTAAACCAGCTTTTGTCAGACTTGTGTTCGACCGAACGACTCTTCCGGTCGAGTCCTCTGACGTGATTAGCGACCTGTGCCTTTGATGAGGCTCCAAGCACATTCCCCCATTACGCAGAGTATCCAGCACGCAGGGAAGGAGCCGAGATAGTATGAGCTACATTGCATGCAAAGAGCGTTTTATTTCTAACTATGCAGACAGTGAAGCAGAGATATACATGCTCTCTCTTTGAAAGCAGAGAGCAACTGAAACACAAAGGAGCAGGAAACCAGTAACGTCACATCCGTCTCCTGTCTTCCGTGAGACTTCCAACAGCCTTGAATGTCTGGAATGCAAAACAGAGTCTTGTGACTCCAAGGACTGCACAGTGGCAACACACAGAAACCTAACAGCTTTTGGGATTATTTCATTAAAATGAAACATCTGTTTTGGCAAAGCCTAGGGTTGCACCAAAAAATGCGTGCTGAGAAACTATCAGAAGTTTTTAATTCGGACCAGCTTCTTCCCATTTATACTCTCTATTCTCAGCTAGTTTTGTGTTTGGCAAATTCTTCCCTCTTCAACCCATCCACTATTTGAGTTTCCCCTCAAACTAGCCACAATCTAATGGAGATGAGACCTTAAATTTGCCCTTCTGTCTCTACCAAGTGAGGCAACAAACAGCATTGCTGCTGGTAACATATTATGACGGGGGGCATGTCATCAAGGACACAGCTGTCTACTAAGAAAAGATTCACTGAAGCAAAACAGATCCAACACAGTGAGAAATTAAGCCTGCCATGTAATCTTAAGAATTAAGGAGAAGGAAATGCGTATTGTTGACTTGGAACAAGGCCCTTCATACAGCGTTGAAGGAACTGTCTGGTCTGGTTCTGGTCTGTAGAGGAGTCTGTGCATACACTGTGAAGGATATTTGATGTTTAAGGAGGTTTCAGGTTATTATGAATCTCAAAATGAAGCTCAATGTCATAGGTGTGCCCAGTTTGGAGGGAGGCACGGTTGGCAAACAAAGAGAATACACTGGAGTACTACTATCAAAGGACATACTCTATTAACATTATGCTTTAAAAAACTGTATGCAGCCTTTCCACAAACAGAATCATGCTCAAAGCAGGCATGTTCAGAACCATTATCACAGACTTAGCTGGCCGTGCAGAAACTGAGAAGATTGTGGCCTTTTAACAAGTCTGTAATCCGACAAAAATATGGCATAGCCATGTGCTAATACCACTGAAGAATATTGTTCATGATATTCTTCCCTGTGAGTGGTCAACATTGATGCCGAAATCCAGCATCGCCTGAGCTCTGAAAGTGCGGATTTCTCCCGATTGTAGTGCAGTGTGTTTGAGGACCGGGACATTCGCAGGGAAACCAAAATGCTTGTTTACAAAGCTATTGTACTACCAACCTTACTGTATGCTTGTGAAACATGGGCCACCTACAAAGGCCTTCTACAACTTCTCAAAAGATTCCATCAACAGTGTCTCCGAAAAATCTTACACATCACTTGGGAAGACAGGCGAACTAATATCAGTGTACTGGATGAAGCAAAGATCACCAGTGTTGAAGCAATTATTCTTCAACATCAACTTTGTTGGACTGGTCATGTTGTGCAGATGCCTGATTATCACCTTCCAAAACAACTATAGTCATACCATGGGTTAAAGTTGCTTCAGGTTGAGCGTTTTTGGGTTGCACTCCGCAGCGACCTAGAAGTAACAGAACGCGTTACTTCCTGGTTTCACCGCTCGCGCATGCGCACAAAATGACGTCACATGCATGCGTGGAAGCGGCGAATCGTGACCCACGCAGAGGCGGGTTGCATTTGCTTCAGGGTGCGAATGGGGCTCCGGAACGGATCCCGTTCACATCCAGAGGCACCACTGTACTCTATTCTGAACTTAAAAATGGAAAGCATAATGCTGGTGTCAACAAAAGAGGCTTAAAGACTGTCTCAAGGCAAATATAAAAATATGTAATATAAACACCGACAACTAGGAAACACTGGCCTGCGAGCGCTCCAGTTGTAGAACAGCCTTTACCAAAGGTGTCATGGACTTTGAAGACACTCGAACTCAGAACGCAAGGGAGAAACGTGCTAAGAGGAAGGCACGCTTGGCAAAGCCACACCATGATCAACTCCCATCCGGGAACCAATATCTCCACTGTGGAAGGACGTGTGGATCCAGAATTGGCCTCTACAGTCACTTACAGACTCATTGCTAAAACTGTGTTTATGGAAGACAATCTTACTCAGCTACGAGTGATCACCAAAGAAGAAGAAGAAGATATTATTCCCAGTAAACTTTATAATGGGTATCCACCGGATAGCAATGCCATCCTTCTGTTCCGCTTTGGATTTCAGGCAAATCAAGTTCTTCCTTTAGTAAAATACAGTTGCAATGTGTTACGCGGAAACATACATAATAGCAACCATGTCACAAAGTTTGTATATGTAGAATTGATTTTATAAACAGGGAAAAGCATTGTAGGAAATCAGTGCTCACAGTTTTCTGCCATCTTCCTCAGACCAAAGTCCTCAGGAATATGTTTATGGCCACACACTAATCACACACAGAACACAAACATCACCCTTTTGGTTTAAAAAAAATCCTCCAACTTTACATTTTAATATGAAACACTATAGAATGAGTATCTACAACACAGAACCTGTCTTCAAAATTGCACATATTCCATATTCACATGATTAAATTGTTTACAGCTCAAAGAAGTTATCGATCCTTCAAGTTTAAACATCAGAAACTGTCAGCCGCAAATAGTTTAGGTATTTACAAAAGGCTTCATTTGTAACACGAACATAATGTTGAGTTGGATCACAAGTCAATGGCTCTTAAGTCCTGTTAAAATCAATGGGAACCAAGTCATGACACAATTCGGAACACAATCCCAGATGTGTGAATTGCTCACAGGAAATAATTTCAACTACTGCTTTATATGTGCAAAGAAAAAAAAATGGCATGAATTCACCGTTTCTGTGCTTTCATTTTTTAACCCTGCAGCTATGAATAATGCCATCAGAATTCTGCTTGGTACAAAGATAATTGAAATATCCCACGCTGAAATCCCCTTTCCTTTCATATGCTCCTCTAAGTGATGTGTGCGTGCCTCCATCATTATTAACTTAATATTAACTTTCAGGAGGAATGTGAAAACATTCCCATTTACCCAGGCACTTTGTAGCTGAAGAATACTGTTCCTGGAACCCCAAGATCACCAGATAGAATGTGGTTTTTTAAAACTATAACAGTCTGTCCCCCCCACCCCAAGTGTGGAACAGTTTGCTACCCTAGTCACTTTCAGGAGAAAGGGCAGGATGTAACTTCAATAAATAATAAATAAACTGACAGTCTTCACATTAGAACGATTGCTCAATTTTGCATTCTTAAAGCTTTCTTGAAGGGGGTTGGAGGGATCACAAAAGGCTCAACTTACCCGTTAACTCATGGATGGGACTGCTACGTATTTCTTGAACAGTCAAGACACATTACGGATTTTAGAAGTCTGTTCTACCACATGGTAAATGAATGAGCATGACTTAGCAGTAGGCTTTAAATCCCATTTGCTTCTCTGCGAAGGGTAAAGTGCACAGTGTAAGAAGAGAGAGATCAGCTGAAGAGTAAAGGTACCCCTGCCCGTACGGGCCAGTCGTGTCCGACTCTAGGGTTGTGCGCCCATCTCACTTAAGAGGCCGGGGGCCAGCGCTGTCCGGAGACACTTCCGGGTCACATGGCCAGTGTGACGAAGCTGCTCTGGCGAGCCGGCACCAGTGCAGCACATGGAAACGCCGTTTACCTTCCCGCTAGAAAGCGGTACCTATTTATCTACTTGCACTTTAGGGGTGCTTTCGAACTGCTAGGTGGGCAGGAGCTGGGACTGCAGACGGGAGCTCACCCCGCCGCGGGGATTCGAACCGCCGACCATGCGATCGGCAAGCCCTAGGCGCTGAGGATTTACCCACAGTGCCACCCGCGTCCCCAGCTGAAGAGTAACTCTTCACCAAATGTAAGGGCTCTTTTTAGCCACTGTGCTCCATAGGTCGCCTGCCCGTTCAGTATATGGAGTGCAGAATGAGAAAAGACAACACCATCAATAAATCTGAAGGTTAATTGTAGGTATCAGGTGAAACCTTCTTCCACAATGTCAGCTAATCATACAAGTTCAACAGTTGGTTTTTTTGCTGGCAACCCAATTCTTTTCCCCAGGACAATCGTTTTCTCCCCTTTTCAGCTGCTAATTGGCTGGGTCTCAATTAATAAATGTCTCTTGGAATTCCATTGCTGCTGCTAACGAGGCAAATGTCCTTGTGTGTGCTGAGACAAGTTAGAGGGTCCCAAGGTGGAGAGGAATCAGTGAGAACAGGCATTATTGGGCTCAAAATTATAAAAAAAATAATAATAATCCCCTCAGCAATCTGATTTCGGAAGGTCTTCTCAAATATGACCATAACAGGTCATTTGGGTATTGAAACATCATGCGAAGGAGGAAGATACTAGTAGCTTCACATGAGGAACCATCTGGAATTGGCAGTGAACCAGATCAGCTGTAAATCAAAGCAGTTGTCTATTACAGATAGTCATAAGGAGCAGGCATCAAATAATGTCCTCTCAAAAGCTGACCTATCTTCATTCGAAGTTCTCAACAGCCTTCATAGACTCAAGCACAGATGGTGCTTGCAAGTCTCTAGTCTCTGTATTTGTCCATCTCTGGATAAAGTGCCTGTTCTTTTGTTTCTTGACCTCTGCAAACAGTGTCCCCTTCAGCTGCTGCTGCTTCCTTCTCCTAAAAAAAGGAAATAAAAGCATTAAAGTTAAAACTGATTTAAGACATCCTTGCAACGGGTTGCTCCTGCCAACCTAACAGTTCGAAAGCACAAAGTGCAAGTAGATAAATAGGTACCACTCCGGCGGGAAGGTAAACGGTGTTTCCGTGTGCTGCTCTGATTCACCAGAAGTGGCTTAGTCATGCTGACCACATGACCCAGAAGCTGTACGCCGGCTCCCTCGGCCAATAAAGCGAGATGAGCGCCACAACCCCAGAGTCGGCCACGACTGGACCTAATGGTCAGGGGTCCCTTTACCTTTACCTTTGACAGCTGTACTGCTCTAACAACTGGTGGATGCAAGTTAAACTACTTGTAGAAGCGGCAAATCGTAATATATGTGGGAAGGCAGGAAAATAGTAGGAACCGCCCCCCCCCCATTCACACTAATTGCATACAGACAAGCATACATATGAACAATGCCATCCTTCAACACACCGAGACAAACCACGAATCAAGTTAAATTTTAAAAGTTCTCAGTAGAGTTTCTTCCTCATTATTTGTAATTTTGTAGAGTTCTGCACAGAACTATGGAGTCGAGTTCCTTTTGAGGATGGAGAACGACACTGCAACCATTATAATAATGATGCAATTCCTTTCAAACACACTTCAGCAGAGCCAATAATTTCCATGGTGTGAAATATTGAGGCTGAAGACTCTGCAAAGCTAACACCTCCCCTTCAACCATAGATACAAGGTTAGGAAAGCTAAGAAACAGAAGGCTCCATAGCCTCTTTCTGTTCTTCTTATGGGAGAAATGCACAAAGGGACAGATTTGTCCACTTGTCTGAACTATTGGTTGTATATTGTCTAGACACCATTGTGCAGCTCGACGATTAAGCCCCTTGTGGGAAGAAACACTAGAGAGTTTGACAACCTAGAGAGATTTGTATTTACTAAGAGCTGGACAGTTGTCTGCCGTCTGTGTGGGAATGGTCTGCTCATCTCCCAAAATACTTTGATTCTTTTCAAGAGCTTCAGCATCCCCCATGCTGCCAACAGTTACAAACTGACCCAAAGCCACAGCCCTTTAATTTGGTCCATGTTGTTCTCCAAGCGCTGATGTTGTAGCATTGTTCTGTGCTTGACTGAAACTTGCTCGAAGGTTATTTTCCTTGTTGAATATAGGCCGGATGGTTAAGTGCCTCCTTGTGGAATGCGTAAGGCTTGCGGGCTGGAGAGGTGTCTGGCTATCCACCCTCAGAAGGGCTGCTGCTTCATCAAATGATTGCAGCTGTAAACCCTAGAAAAGTAAAAGTTTTTTTAAAAAACGTTTACGCATTCACCCACCAAAGTGCAAAATAGCAAATGAAGTTCCATGACAAACTTCAAGTTGGGTAGTTTCTGAATCCTAACTAGGATATATGGAGTGGTACTATCACACACGCAGTGGGACGCAGGTGGCGCTGTGGGTTAAACCTAGGACTTGCCGATCAGAAGGTCGGCGGTTTGAATCCCCGTGATGGGGTGAGCTCCCATTGCTCGGTCCCTGCTCTTGCCAACCTAGCAGTTTGAAAGCACGTCAAAGTGCAAGTAGATAAATAGGTACTACTCCGGCGGGAAGGTAAATGGCGTTTCTGTGTGCTGTTTTGGTTCGCCAGAAGTGGCTTAGTCATGCTGGCCACATGACCCAGAAGCTGTACGCAGGCTCCCTCGGCCAATAAAGCAAGATGAGCGCTGCAACCCCAGAGTCGGCCACGACTGGACCTAATGGTCAGGAGTCCCTTTACCTTTACTATCACACACATAAAAAAACCCCCACCCATCCAGCACACACATGCACACACACACACTTATGTGTCAGACCAGGAATGCCTAAATTGTAGGTATGAACTGCAATTCTCTCCCTGTAAACGGGAGGTTGCCAACAAGTGTGTGTCCAGCAGTTACTGAGTGCAGTTACTCATGCGTTGTAGGGATCTAAAATGTCTTTCTTCAAGGAAATGCATGCTGCAGGAATATCACAGTTTACCATCAGTCAAGTCACAATATTTTGTTCCTGGATACTGCCTCAACAGGAGTGATTGGTGCTATGCAGAACACAATTGTGCAAGTGTCACTTCTAGGACAAATCTGCATTGTGAAATCTATAAAGCTGACAGCTTGTGTCCCTTCAGACGTGCACTTGTCTTCTCCTGCAAAGAAGTACATATTTCCCCTGATATTTAAAGAAAAAACCCAATACAGTGGTACCTCGGGTTGCATACGCTTCAGGTTACATATGCTTGAGGTTACAGACTCCACTAAACCAGAAATAGTACCTTGGGTTAAGAACTTTGCTTCAGGATGAGAACAGAAATTGTGCTCCGGGGGCGTGGCAGCAGCAGGAGGCCCCATTAGCTAAAGTGGTGCTTCAGGGTAAGAACAGTTTCAGGTTAAGAACGGACCTCCGGAACGAATTAAGTACTTAACCCGAGGTACCACTGTACACAAACTATAATACAATGGTCCTGTGCTGTACAGGTAACTCCCTGATCCCAGACTACTAATTTTTTGACAGCTTGTTATAGAAACCGTAGTTACCTTTTGCTGGGTAAATACTATGGGCTGGAATAACTCTGAAGTTAAGAGCTCCTTTGCTCCATTTGATTCCACTTTGATTATGGTTTTCTCTGGTGAGCTCCCTACAAAAACAACCAGAGACAAAGTGACATGGGGCAGGGGCACTTCTTACCTTTGATAAAAGCTTATCCAATCAGCCATCCAAACTAAATCCCCAGATATATCTTATGCAGTATAAAGTACTTTGTTGAATGGTCAGTAGTCTATAGAGGAATATTGAAAGAAAACAAGGGAGTAGAAAGCAGGAAAGGAAGTTGAGTGAGTATAACAGTGAGTAGTTGAACATTAAATCACAGGAAAATGAATCAGTTAGCAGTACAGGTTAGTTACAGGTAGGTAGCCATGTATCTGAAGATGTGTGCATGCTCACGAAAGCGCATACCAATAACAAACTTCGTTAGTGTCTAAGGTGGGGGACGCGGGTGGCGCTGTGGGTTAAACCACAGAGCCTAGGACTTGCCGATCAGAAGGTCGGCGGTTTGAATCCCTGCAATGGGGTGAGCTCCCGTTGCTAGGTCCCTGCTCCTGCCAACCTAGCAGTTCGAAAACACCTCAAAGTGCAAGTAAATAGGTACCGCTCCGGCAGGAAGGTAAACGGCGTTTCCGTGCGCTGCTCTGGTTCGCCAGAAGCGGCTTAGACATGCAGGCCACATGACCTGGAAGCTGTACGCCGGCTCCCTCGGCCAATAAAGCGAGATGAGTGCCGCAACCCCAGAGTCGGCCACGACTGGACCTAATGGTCAGGGGTCCCTTTACCCTTTTACCTTTATAAATGTCTACTTAGAACATAAGCTCCACTCATATACGTTTGTACAGGACTGCTGCCTTAAGTGTGCTAGGGATATAATTTGCTATTTTTAGTTGTATTTAACTAATAATTTAATATATTTAAATGTTTGTTTTATTGTTTTGTATTCTGCTTTGTGGCAGTGGCCCACTTAGGGAATTTGAAAAATAATAAAAGCAGTAGCTGATGTTGATTTATCTCTAAATAAATACCATATACTGTACTGTATTGACGTGCATTCGTTTGCCACGGTTTCTGCTAAAGCAATGGCTCAAGTAAATACAGCAATTACTGTACCTCAGGGGTGCCCAAACTTTTTTCAAAGAGGGCTAGATTTGATGAAGTGAACATGCGTGAGGACCACCCAAAGTTGTGTGCATGCACACGAAAGCTCATACCAAGAACTACCTTAGTTGGTCTTTAAGGTGCTACTGGAAGGAATTTTTTTGTTTTGACTATGGCAGACCAACACGGCTACCTATCTGTAACTTTTTTTAGGATTTAACCCCAAAGTTGTTGGAATTACGCCCCCGAAATCAGCTTTGAACACAAAATACAAAACATCTACAGCAATCTTGTGGGTTCATTACACCAACACTTCAAATAGATATACAGTGGTGCCTCGCAAGACGAATGCCTCGCAAGACGAAAAACGTACAAGACGAAAGAGTTTTTCGTTTTTTGAGTTGCTTTGCAAGACGAATTTCCCTATGGGCTTGCTTCGCAAGACGAAAACGTCTTGCAAGTTTGTTTCCTTTTTCTTAAAACCGTTAATACCCAGGGAAACCGTGCTTCGCAAGACGAAAAAAATCGCAAGACGAAAAAACTCGCAGAACGAATTAATTTCGTCTTGCGAGGCACCACTGTATTAGCACAACACATTTAGGATCAAATTTACTAGCTGCAAATTTGTGGCTTCACTGAGGTAAATACTATTGCCAGAATCTCTACATTACTTGCAGTCACAAATTATTTGAAGCAAGCTATAAATAAAAAAACAGCTACTATAAAAATATGCAACTAAGTATGTCTGCTCCCTGAAGGGTAAAAATTAATTGATGACTAGAATATATATGGACATATTTCAAATTAAGCGCCCTAGGGCCAAAAAACCGATCTCTTACGCTGCCAGCAATTAAATTCTTACCTTCCAGTTCCAGGAGTGGGATGTGTTTTTCAGTTCAGTTGGTCCGTTTCAAGAGTTGCTAAATACAAGTTAAACACACACAGAAAAAGGCTCAGCTTAATGTGCAATTCGCCATACATACACTGGTATAAGCAATACATTGCATCAGTTAGGTCACCAACTAACATATGAGGAATTGCACGCTCTCCTTTTGCTGCATGCCCCCTAAATCTGTTCTGGCCTCCCCCCACCACAAACCTTGTGGGGAGGACAAGCCTTACACTAACGCAAGGATTTAGTTGCATACTGTCCTAAACTCTGGAGCAGAACACACACCCAAGGAATTCATTCCAATATCGGAGAAAACTCTACACTCGTAATACGGCACTCTGCTTCCTACATAAGTCAATAGGTGATCCTCTGTGTATTTCAGACTCCTTGCATTCACAAGGAGCCACTACCTCGTGGCTTAGGGACATTCCTAAGGATCTTGCTGCAACTTCCTGTACCAGGCTATTTTTTTGCTCCCCACCCTCACAACTATCACTTCCAAAGGGCTCGTCACACCACAGCAAAGGGAAGTGCACAACGAATCATTCATAGGACAACATTTAAACAATAAATTGTAAAAAAGGCATTTACTTTTAAGGCGCATGAACTGTAAGATGAAAAACAACCCAACCCGTAATAATAATAATAATAATAATAATTGGTGAAGGAATGAGACTTTGAAACTGCCTCTGAAATTGGCACGGTTAAGCGATAAAATAAAGCAGGGGTTCCCAAACTGTGGTCTAGCAGATCAACAATGGCCTGCAATCTTCATTCAGGTGGACCATGGCATTTCTGCATTAAATATTTCTATTGATTTTGAATGGCATTTTAATTGTTTTCTTTGTTGTTTTGCAATTTGAATTCTATGCAATGCAAATTTGAAAACTACATAAGAAATAAAATAAGTAATAAAATTACAGTTAAAAATCATATAACATCTAGCACAGTGTGTTACAATTTTGATCGCAAACAGGAAAATCTAAGTGGCCCACCAAGATATTGAAGAAGTTGGGGAGTTTGGGAACCACTTACATATAGGCTACATAACGCTAGGATTAACTCAGCAACAAATAAATGTTTTCAGCTTGCTCCTACCCTCAGTAGGCGAAGATGCAAGTGTAACAGTCACTGTTTCAGTAAGAATATTACCACTGTCTGTTGTCCATTGAAGCTGAAAAGAGGAAGAAGAGCCATTTAAAGAAGCCAACACTCTTATCACGTGTTGACACACATCCAAATCACCATGAAAACACAAAAACTGAAATGCAGATTTACTTATTTGTTCTTATACTCTTATCTTTTAGATTCCTCCTTCTTAACCGTTCTGTGGTTTTAATAAACAGTTAACTTGGTGTCAAACCCTGGTCAAGTAATCACTTAAAGAAATAAAAGCCAAGCCTTCTGCCATGTGGAATATTAGTAAGACCTTCGTAGTCCTCTCTGATATTTGAGTTGTTCTAGCTAGGATTTAGGGACGCGGGTGGCGCTGTGGGTTAAACCACAGAGCCTAGGACTTGCCGATCAGAAGGTCGGCGGTTCGAATGCCCATGATGGAGTGAGCTCCCGTTGCTCGGTCCCTGCTCCTGCGAACCTAGCAGTTTGAAAGCACATCAAAGTGCAAGTAGATAAATAGGTACCACTCCGGCAGGAAGGTAAACGGTGTTTCCGTGCGTGGCTCTGGTTCGCCAGAAGCGGCTTAGTCATGCTGGCCACATGACCCGGAACCTGTACGCCGGCTCCCTCGGCCAATAAAGCAAGATGAGCACCGCAACCCCAGAGTCGGTCACGACTGGACCTAATGGTCAGGGGTTCCTTTGCCTTTACTTAGCTAGGAGTTTGCCATGAACTTGCTGAGTGACAACCCCAAATAATTTAAGCTTGTCACTTGTTCTATCAAATATCTATTAAGTGACCATTTGAGTAGATAAATTTGCTCTACTAAAAACAATCTTTTTTTGTTTTATACTCGTTTATACTCTGTTTCTCATTCTGACAATACTGTATCAATCACCTTAGTAGGCAATTTAATTGTAATTTACTGGGGGCGGGGTTATTTGTGCTAATGCCTTTGAAACAGTTATCCTGAGAGAGAGTCAAGAGCAAGCAATGAAGACGGTCCACAAAATGACCACAAAACTCGGCTGAAAGAGAAAGAGAGGAAGAAAGAAGAGTCCATGCTTACCATTGCCGGAATAGTTTCTGAGTTGTATAATATCTTCCCGTTTCTTAGCGACTTCTGCACTTCATGAATGTGGTTCTTGAGATCATTTACAGTAGGAAAGAAAGACAAGTTGTGCTTCTCCGGCACTTCATCAGGTCTGAACAATTCTCGTTCCACAAATTTTCTGTTGAGTATTAGAAATGGGGGGAAAGAGAGGATTAAACACGTGTTGATATGTGATTTATCGTACTTGTTGCTCTTCCGAACAACATACAATCAAGGCTTGGGAAGTTAACATTCCTTCCCCAAGCAGGGTAGAGCTCACACTCACAGATGGAGGTCTCCTGCCTCTCCTTTTCCTTTTGCATCTGGAGACTGGGGTATCCTTGAGAATGGTGCAGGGGCCTACAAATGAAGCAAGACTTGGTGGAAGTCTCCTTCAAGCCCAAGTGTTTTACTCTTCTTGTTGTTGATGATGTTTAGTCGTTTAGTCGTGTCCGACTCTTCGTGACCCCATGGACCAGAGCACGCCAGGCACTCCTGTCTTCCACTGCCTCCCGCAGTTTGGTCAAACTCATGCTGGTAGCATCAAGAACACTGTCCAACCATCTCGTCCTCTGTCGTCCCCTTCTCCTTGTACCCTCAATCTTTCCCAACATCAGGGTCTTTTCCAGGGAGTCTTCTCTTCTCATGAGGTGACCAAAGTATTGGAGCCTCAGCTTCAGGATCTGTCCTTCCAGTGAGCACTCAGGGCTGATTTCCTTATGAATGGATAGGTTTGATCTTCTTGCAGTCCATGGGACTCTCAAGAGTCTCCTCCAGCACCATAATTCAAAAGCATCAATTCTTCGGTGATCAGCCTTCTTTATGGTCCAGCTCTCACTTCCATACATCACTACTGGGAAAACCATAGCTTTAACTACATGGACCTTTGTTGGCAAGGTGATGTCTCCGCTTTTTACTCTACTAACATACATTTAGCCTGATTATCCAGGGTCAGATTTTTTTTTATTTAAAGTGGATTTTTAAAATAAAATTCTTTGGGGGGCAGATTCTTTCTAAAGACAGGTTTCTACATTATAGTCCTAAGGCTATTCATCAGGAAATAAGGATTTGTTTTAAGTTTTTCATGTGTGCTAAAACTCAGTTTAAAGTTTAAAAGAAAAAATTTTAACCACATCAGTTAACAACCATGGATATATATACTATAATGTTATAGTTTCAGTTAAATAAAATTGTTTAAATTGTTATTAAGCCAGTGTGGTGTAGTGGTTAAGAGCGGTAGACTCCTAATCTGGGGAACCGGGTTTGCGTCTCCGCTCCTCCACATGCAGCTGCTGGGTGACCTTGGGCCAGTCACACTTCTCTGAAGTCTCCCAGCCCCACTCACCTCACAGAGTGTTTGTTGTGGGGGAGGAAGGGAAAGGAGAATGTTAGCCGCTTTGAGACTCCTTAAAGGGAGTGAAAGGCGGGATATCAAATCCAAACTCTTCTTCTTCTTCTTCTATTAAGGAAATGATTATTTTCTCCTTCCGATAAAGTACAGCAGAAAAGTTGTCCAAATATAAGCAGTTAACTTATTAAACCTCACAACAATTTCCTAACTATCTGTCTATGTATTTCTAATAGTATAACCAAATTAGTAATCTTTGAAAATTTATTATTCCAAAAATGAAACCTTCACCTGGTTGTAAATATTAAGATCATGCCAGCAAGAATGAGTCTTTCTGTAAAAAAAATATTTAAATCAATTCTTACTGACTAGTGATTTAAATTGTGATTTAAATCTAATCCACCCTGTGATTAACCCATTCTTTTCCTACTGGAAATTTTGCTGGACTACTTAGGAAAAATCCAAAAACTTTGCAAAAACAAAACTCAAAAACAAAACAACCAGGCAAACAGAAGTTTGGTAAAGAAAATACTTCATAGAATACTAGTATGTAAAGCTTTCTCTTCTGTGCAGTGTAAGAAAAACTACAACTTAGCCCATACTTTGGCCTCTTGAAAAATCTCAGGTATGGATAATAAAGTAGTAAGTTTCTATACTATAGGGCTTAGGGACTAGAGGTTTACTACAGGTCTCTGGGGTGCTCTTTCCAATTGGTTTGAAAAGCACCTACCTTGATATATGGGAAGGATCTGTGAAACCACATTCCACTCCCAAAACAGCCAAAATGTCGAAATCAGGACAGGGGTGGGGAGCGGGTGCTGTGTCATAACCCACACAAAGTGGGAAAAGTGTGTTGTGTAGAGACTTACAAAGACTTACCGTAACTGTTTCCTCACTGCGTAGACTTGTTCTATTCCTTGAGACACTAGCTCTCGGATCTTATCTGCAACTTGCGGGTGAAGTCGCGAGGGCAGCGTGCAGCTTTCGTCTTTGCCTGCATCATCCTCTCCCTCAGGAGACGGTATGGAGAATGGCGATCGTGGGAGGCACATCTCTAGCTCGTGATACTGATGAGCCTGCTGAGTAGGTAACTGCACATACCACCTGGCGAGAAAAATTGGCAGATGCAACTCCCAAGAAAGTAATAACTTTTTCCAGCAGGAGGGGGGAAACTCAGGCATAGGCAAACTTCGACCTTCCAGATGTTTGGGACTACAATTCCCATCATCCCTAGCTAACAGGACCAGTGGTCAGGGATGATGGGCATTGTAGTCTCAAAACGTCTGGAGGGCCGAGTTTGCCTATACCTGGTCTAACTCATGGGCATCACCACACTTCCACAGAGATTGCTGTTATCTTTGCCACTCAGATTGCTGTACAGTACAGCATTAAATATTGAGGGGTTCACTGCATTAACGCCCCAAAAGGGTCTTCTTTCTCCCATAGCTGCAGCCTATGGTTTAAAACAGAAACCAACCATTGTGCTCTGACTCTCTTTCCAGCTTGCTGCCTTTAACAGCCTGCAACCTTCTTTCCTCTACGTCACATCACAGACTCAAAACTCTAAAGACTCTGCTTCAAACTCTCATTTGGTCTTCTAACTAACTCAGAGCTGAAGGAGAAGCTCCAGCCCTTTTGCTGTCTGGCACAGAGTCCTCTCTCTTTTGCTTTCTTAACAGTCCATCATCTTTCCCTTTGTTCTCTCTTAATGGCTCATCTCCCAGGTGATCAACTCATGACAAAACCAGCCTGCTTTATATTTTAACCCTGGCTGGATCTAGGAGTTCAGAAGGCTTGACTAATTTCTAACACTTACTGGGTCCAGTACTTTAGGGGCACCCAGCACCTCCAAACTCATAACAACAATGCTGTTCCTGGCAACCCTAAGGTTGAAATTATGAAATAATGATTTTAAATGTAACGGTTTTCAGAATGCTTTTAACTGCTTTAGGGGTTTTTTTGTTGTGAATGTGCTTGCTACCATGAGCTCTTTCGAGAAGAAGGCAGGATATAAATGCAGTTATTAAAACCTTAACTTTGACTAGCATTAACACCAGTGCTTTTTTTCCCTAAAAAAATGTTTAGGAGTACTCTCATTTTCCTATTCATATTGAAATACTGCCCCTCAATGAGGCCAAACGTAGATTCACAAAATGTTTAGGGGTATGCGTCCCCCTGCGTCCCCCCCAGAAAAAAAGCACTGATCAACACTGATAATTAACCTTCTTCATAGAGGAATGACACACACGCAGCCTTATTTCTTCTCCCAAAATCTCTACCCAACCCTACCCTTCCTTTCTTATTGGTACAAAACCTGCGCACCTCCCAACCCCTTTTTAGAATGGTGGCAAATGATTTCTAAGGAACGATCCTATTCCTAATTTTCTGGGGTGTCTTGATCCACTGAAATCACACACAACCTTTGTTAGCCAAGTCAGCACATAAAAATCTCCCAATGAGAATGCACAAATGGAAACATCAACAAAATGTGGTGTGGAGCACTCCTGTTCAGGGGTCTGGCCAGTCAACTATGTCCTCTTCCAGAATACTTCATTCCATTCCCTGCTAGTTTCCAGCTGTCTCCCCGGCTTCTTCAGGACTCGGGACACTCTTTATTCTGTGGCCCCTGACAATGTCCAATCCCAACTGGGTTGTGTTGGGAGCGTTTGGCCCTGTATGGTTTTTCCTCCCTGAATATATATATTTACTTCTACTGTTTTTGCAGCTCCTTCAAACATTCCAGTGCTTCCCTTTTGTTTCTTAAGTTGCTCTGATTCTGTTGCACAGCTGTTAGCATTTAGCACCCAAGTTTGTTTGCTAGGAGTGATCAAACTAAAGGGGTTTCTGAGACATTCCTAATAGATGCTTCACAGGGCCGGATTTAGGTTTGATGAGGCCCTAAGCTACTGAAGGCAATGGGGCCCTTTATATGTCCAGCTGTCCTTTGTCAACAACAAATTGTCGCTATTTTTTGTGTTGAATATATGCTATATGGTAATTTATGGACCTGATATGTATTGAAAGCCATAACAAAATATGTATTTTGTCAAAGTAATTGTTGAACTTATCTTATATTTTGGAAATGCACATCCATGTTTTTTTTCCCCCTTTAAATTTTTCACCTTGCCAACAAAGGTCCATGTAGTTAAAGCTATGGTTTTCCCAGTAGTGATGTATGGAAGTGAGAGCTGGACCAATAAAGAAGGCTGATCGCCGAAGAATGGATGCTTTTGAATTATGGTGCTGGAGGAGACTCTTGAGAGTCCCATGGACTGCAAGAAGATCAAACCTCTCCATTCTGAAGGAAATCAGCCCTGAGTGCTCACTGGAAGGACAGATCCTGAAGCTGAGGCTCCAAGACTTTGGCCACCTCATGAGAAGAGAAGACTCCCTGGAAAAGACCCGATGCTGGGAAAGATGGAGGGCACAAGGAGAGGGGACGACAGAGGATGAGATGGCTGGACAGTGTTCTCGAAGCTACCAGCATGAGTTTGACCAAACTGCGGGAGGCAGTGGAAGACAGGTGTGCCTGGTGTGCTCTGGTCCATGGAATCACAAAGAGTCGGACACGACTAAACGACTAAACAACAACAAATCAAGCTGAAAGACATACATTACCTGAGAACCCCACCAGCATCAATCAGGTTTTTCTTCAGCACGTTGAAAGCTTTCTCCTGTTCCACACGTAAAATTTTCTTATCAATTTTGGGGTCTGTCGGAACTCTATACTCGGGGAACTTCTGGACCTTCTTAATATAGATCCTGCCATAGGAAAGGAGGGGAAGGAATCACAACACAGAGACTACAACAAACAAACACATTCTCTTATTCTATTAAGACGTTTTAGGATGAAAAACACCTAACTATTTAAAGAGGTGGAAGAGTGACACGACCCCTTAAAACATATTTGCCCCTCAGAGCTGCTCTTATCTATTTTTATAGTATTGGTAGTAACATTTTCTTACAAAAAAAAATTTTGTACGCTGTTGATCAGATAAACATTTGTCCTATTTACTAAAATGTCCGAAGCCTTCTAGAGTGGCTGGGGAAACCCAGCCAGATGGGCAGGGTATAAATAATATATATACCCCGCCCATCTGGCTGTTTCCTCAGCCACTCTGGGCGGCTCCCAATCGAGTGTTAAAAACAATACAGCATTAAATATTAAAAGCTCCCCTAAACAGGGCTGCCTTCAGATGTCTTTTAAAAATAGGATAGCTGCTTCTTTCCTTCACATCTGAAGGAAGGCTGTTCCACAGGGCGGGCGCCACCACCAAGAAGGCCCTCTGTCTGGTTCCCTGTAACCTCACTTCTCGCAATGAGGGAACCACCAGAAGGCCCTCAGCGCTGGATCTCAGTGTCCGGGCTGAACGATGGGGGAGGAGATGCTCCTTCAGGTATACAGGACCAAGGCCGTTTAGGGCTTTAAAGGTCAGCACCAACACTTTGAATTGTGCTCGGAAACATACTGGGAGCCAATGCAGATCTCTCGGGACCGGTGTTATGTGGTCCCAGCGGCCTCTCCCAGTCACCAGTCTAGCTGCCGCATTCTGGATTACTTGTAGTTTCCGGATCACCTTCAAAGGTAGCCCCACGTAGAGTGCATTGCAGTAGTCCAAGCGGGAGATAACTAGAGCATGCACCACTCTGGCAAGACAGTCCGCAGGCAGGTAGGGTCTCAGCCTGCGTACCAGGTGGAGCTGGTAGACAGCTGCCCTGGACACAGAATTAACCTGCGCCTCCATGGACAGCTGTGAGTCCAAAATGACTCCCAGGCTGCACACCTGGTCGTTTAGGGGCACAGTTACCCCATTCAGGACATTCATTATTCATTATGAATATTATTATTCTACTTTCCCGGCTATCCATTGCTTACCTTGCAGGGCAGGTGGCTTTGTACACTTGGCAGGAAATGTCCTCCTGTTCACCAGTTTTCCTGGGCTGAAAACCCTTCCTTCGGGGCCCATATTGGCACTCCATCACTATGGCTCTGCTTCCTGTTTCGAGGGGTAAATTGCATGTTCATTGCGACAGATATTTTGTTTCCTCGGCAGATCAGTTTGGGATAGGGATGGGGGGAAATACATCCGTCCAATAAGCCAAATCCAGAAGTGGCCAACCCTCCGTGAGCCATTCTGACGAACTGGTGGTGGTGGAGTCACCCAACTTTCAATAATCTGGCACCATATAAAGTCAGGGGATTCAAACTTCAAGCCACACACTTGCAAAGAAAGACCCTACCTTTGCTGTTCTGGCTGGAATTCAGCACTTTTTGAATCTAAGCCACAGCTGAAGGACAGCGGCGGAGCAAGCCGATTGGGCGCCTGGGGCGGTGCACGTGCCCTGCGCCCAGGGGCGGGGCCAGCCGCCCAGGGGCGGGGCCAGCTGGGGCAGGACGCTTTGAGGAGTCTGCCTGCCTCCTCCCACTCAGCCGCCCTACAGATGATGGGCAGGTGGACTATTTCGGGTAGCGCAGCGCCTGTGGGCGCCTAAGCCACCGCATCAATCCCAGAAGAGATGCATGGCTCGGGTGCGCTGCAGGCCCCGTGGTGAGTGCCACCCGACATTTTGTCAAACCCCCCCAGTGGTGACACCTGGGTGGCCTGCCCCCACCGCACCCCCTTCCTCCGTCCCTGCTGAAGGAGAACCAGTAGCAGAGCCAGCCAGCTCATGAGGTAGGGTAAAGCAACTGCTTCGGGCAGCGGAAGCGCAGGGGGCAGCACCTCTGCAGATACCTTGCCCACCCGCACCGCTGGAGAAACAGCGCTGGCAGAAGCACCCGTTTCCGTTGAGATTTTATGAGATCTCACAGAAAGTTGTGAGAGCTTGTAAACCACATGAGAGCTCGCAGGAAACCAGCGCCACCTCTCCGCCGGCGGTGGCGGCAGCTGACAGGAAGCATATTCCTGTTTCGCCTCAGGCGGCAAAACAGGACACACCGCACCTGACCGGGAGCTCACTAAATGCACGTGCTATTCGTAAGAATTTGTTAAAAACAAATTATTTAATAATTTAACACTGCTAAAGAGCAAGAGACGTGTGTGTTCCATGACAATAAAGTTTTCATAGGTAAAAAAAGAATGTATGGCCCATGCACACTGTTTATTTGAAGATGGCATAACTGTTTATTTCATCACAATTGTATGCATATAAAGGCAACTCCATAGTGGCTTCCAAACATGCAATGGAGATTAGATCTGTGTAGGAAAGGGTTCTGTGAAGAGTTCTAAATGACATTTTTCCTCAAAAGACTAGAACACGGGAACCAACGCACAAGCACACAGCAGAACATGAGTGAAAACCACTACAATGTAGGCACTGAGACTTTTCCCTTTGTGACCTTTCACAATACCTATAGATATTCTGCAAAGCAAAATGAAGCACAGTCTCTCTAATAAATCTGAAAACCATTAAGAAGAAAGTAAGTTACCAGCATTGACAAAAGGGATCCCATCAAATGGAACATATTGTGATTTCCACATCAGCCTCGTGGCAGGTTTAGCTGGGCTTGGAGACTGGCGCGTTCCCCACACGCTGTGCGTTTGCTGCTTGTGCACTGTTAGAATATTCTCTAATTCTGCTTCACTTGAACAATAGCCACGGTATGAATCCCCAATTTTCTGCATGAAGAGGAGGTGAAATAATAGGATTTATTCACCAATTAAAATGCTATTTGGAGTTCAGGAAGTCAGTATCATCACATGAGATGCCTGTGGCAATCCAGTGTGCTGTACGCACATTATCTGCAGGTGACAGAATTTTTCCAAGAGTTTCTTCCCTTCCCAATTTTCCTGAGTTTAAGATGCAGTTTCTGGGTTTATTTGTTGAAAACAGTGTTAAACATTTTATGTTTTGCCAGAACTCCATGTACCCCCTTTAACTGTACAGTCATACCTCGGGGTGAATATTTTCGGGTTGAATATTTTCGGGTTGCGCTCTGTGGCAACCCGGAAGCGTTAATTCCAGGTTTTGCCGCTCGCACATGCACAGACGCTCAAAATGACGTCACGCGCATACGCGGAAGCGGCGAATCATGACCCGTGCACGTGCAGACGCGGGTTGCGTTCACTTCAGGATGCGAACGGGGCTCCAGAATGGATCCCATTCGCATCCAGAGGTACCACTGTATATGAGTAAAAGCTCAGTGACAAGTGTGGGTAAAATGCTATTTTGGAAAGCAATGCTTTTTCATTTCTGCCAACTTTTACTGCTGTACATGATTCTAAAGAGAAATGTCTGCTGAGCAGTGTGCACCATCTCCAATGATTTTCCTTATATGCCTATTTAATGTCAAACACCCAAAACACTATTTTAAAAACACAGCCAAGTGCATAAAGCAGTTTCAATATTATATGGGGTAACAGCCAAACAGAAAACTCCTGGGAAAATTGTGTGCTATTGTAATAAGTTTTCCAATCAGTCTAAGTACAGTGGTACCTCGGGTTATGAACCTAATTCGTTCCCGAGGTCCGTTCTTAACCTGAGGCTGTTCTTAACCTGAGGTGCGCTTTCGCTAATGGGGCCTCCCACTGCCGCCAGCGCGTGATTTCCGTTCTCATCCTGGGTCAAAGTTCTCAACCCGAGGCACTACTTCTGGGTTAGCAGAGTTTGTAACCCAAAATGTTTGTAACCTGAGGTACCACTTGTATTTTAAAAGTATGCAAGCTAAAGTTTATAGTCATCACCCAAGAAAGATATAAATATTATGTTGTCAGCTATTCTATGGCCTTTTGGCGAAGGGCAGTATACAGTGGCACCTCCGTTTGCGGACGAGATCTGTTCCGGAGCTCTGGTCAGATCCCAAGGTTTTCACTACCAGAGGTGCCTGTTCTGCGCATGTGCGTGGCACGGTAGAGCACTTCTGCGCATGCGTGCGTAGCGAAACCCGGAAAAATACTTCTGGGTTTGCCACATTTGCATCCTGAAGTTTACGTAACCAGAGGGTTACGTAACGTGAGGTACTACTGTATGTCTATAATTTTCTTAATAAAACCAAAACAAATGAACTGCTCAGGAGTTTAAGGCGGTTTAGAAGATGACTCGTGGTAGCAAAGCCTTGCCATAAACAGTGTATTCATCAGATGAAGGGCTTGACTGAAAGGCAATCCCTCACTGCTTGTTGCATTTCATGAAAGATACTAGTGAAAAACTTACACAGCATACCTTTTCCAGAGACCAATTACAATTACTGTCCCACTTTCGACTAAGTTGCTAGGGCCATTTACATTCCATGACATCCACTTAAATCCCCCTCTGGCTACCACTAGACTGCCTTGGCTCCGAACAAACTACAAGACAGTTTAACTGACAAACGTCAAGTAACTAAGAAGTGTAGCCACCTCTGATACTAGTTTGTGAGATTAATACTTTGCTCAGTTGTTGTTTTTTAGCTCACCTCACAGTTCCTGAGACGGCGAGCCCAGGTAGGTGTGTTTGAGGACAATGGTTGAGGGGGAACTGGAAAAGTGTCTTCCAATAACCTGAACAATAAATGCAAAAGGGATATAGAGTCAAAACAAATCCATGCAAATAAACACGTAATTGCAGATTTTGATGATGTTGCTATATTAAGGACAGACGCAGATTCCTTTCACTTCTTGTGGTTAACATTTGTAAGGCAGTATTTGCAGTACTTAAAAAAATATTTTAAAAGCTATCATTCAAAGCAACAACCGACTCTTTCACTTTATTGCTGCAAGCCTTCAGGGACCAGATGGTTTAGGAATCTCCTATGTCAATCATTAGGAAGCAACCTGTGACCATTTCATAGATGCAACAAGAGGAAGTTCAGCTAAAATACTGACAATGGGGAAAACTGCAGAACTTCACAGTTTGTCTGAGAAGAGATTTCCTCATCTTCTGACCTACCTGGTGGCTGTTGCTTTGGACACTGTAAGAGATGCTTGAGGATGAAGGATGTATCTGCTTGTACCATCTGCAACAGCAGCCACTGCAACGGTTCGCAAACTCCCACCATTTCTCTCTTCTGAAGCATCTTAGGAAAAGGATGGGGGGGGACACACACGTCCTTCTTTAATAAGTGCATAGAGAACCAAGAAAGTGCAATTCAGAAAACTGGTGAGCAATTAGCAAGCAGCAGCCTGAGACTGAAATGTGAATCTGTCTCTGCCAAACCCTGAAACCTTCTAGAATGGAGAGGCCCTGTTCTAATAGAGCTAAGGGCACAGCTTTTAGAATGTGCTCTTCCATAACTACCACAAGCTCAGCTAAAAGTTGGTATAGCAACGCCACTGAGAAAAAAAGAGGGGCTCCATCTTGCTTGTGTATGTTTGCGAAATTCTACATTTCCTGTTCTCAAGTCAAATAAATCTTGAGTCAAAGGAAGAAAAGGAAAGAACCTATCCCAGTGTGCTACAGGTACAAATATAAGTCCGTACTTTGCACCTAGCAGCTGTGACCTTTGCAAGCAGCAGCACACAGTCTGCTGTTAAGGAACGTCTCAAGAAAAAGAAGCTTGAATAGCCTGTGAGAAGCCCACCTCTTCAAATTCCAAGTTTACAATTAAAATTATTGATTCCGAGTGTGGAAATACAGTATAATTGCGTAATGAAGGTGTATGCCTTGGCACCAGAATTCACAAATTGAAGGTTAAGTGCTTTCACTTAGTAGCATGTTGTACTGATTTCAGTGGAACTTGCTTCCACATAGTCTGTTGGGACACGATGTACCTTACCCTGAGAACTGGTGACATCCAGAAGTTGACCTTGGGGAATAATCACTTGTGCCACTCCTGGCTGAGAAGGAATAACGTGCAACACTTGCCCATTCTCAGACTGGCTGGCAACTATCATCTTTGAAGGAAACAAAGAAATGGTATAATGAATATCATATAATATTTGAGAGATTTATGCCAATAAGCTTCAAGCCAATTTGAAATTATTCATCTCTGTTTTATAGAAAAATCAGAAACCACTGAGATCTAGGTTTGAATTTAAGCAGAGAGACTCAAGTTCTTACTGATAAGATCCACATATTGATAGAATTGCCCCTGCCCCAGATATTTAACAACAACAACAACAACAGTAAATTTTATTTATACCCCGCCCTCCCCAGCCAAGACCGGGCTTAGTGCAGCTAACAACCAATAATAAAAACAAGTTGATTAAAATACAACTTAAAAAACAAGATTAAAATAGAACATTATTTTCAAGGTTCCCTTAACACAGCGATTTGACAAAGCCACAACACACTTAATCCACATATCTGTTTATGAAGTACAGAAGACTAATGTGTTATTAAGGCTGGCAATTAAAAAAATATTCAGTTGATTCGTCATCTGCTATTTAGTCAACAAAACATAACGCAGATTAGGGCATTATTACATTTCAACACAGGGTTCCTTTTTCAAATACATTGGAGGGAAAACTAAACAAACAAAAACTGCCCTAAGATGTATTTACTCACCATGTGAGTGCTGGAGCCCTCTGAGGATTGTACTTCATAAAAGGGATGGCCACTCTGGTGTACAAGTTGAAAACCCTTCTGCTGAAAAAGGGAGCGTCTGGGACAGCTGCATTTGTGCATTCAGTGACTGAGAAATATCTTCCGAAATGGGCGCTGTGATGGGTAGGACTGCCTGAGGAACATTTGGCCCAAAGGATGGGTCCCCGGTTTCCATGTCTGCTAGATGCTGTCATAACAGAATATATATTGACATCTTTTCAATCATTTTTTTTTTTAAATCTTCGGAATAGCAAATGGTACCTTAGTATCAAGATGACCAGTGAGGCAATTTTCTACTCAAACCTGAGTTTTCTGGCTGAAGACTATGGCCAGAAAAGCCACCTCGACTGGACTGCCATCATCTCTCTTGTATCATCTGGGCTATGAATCCCTGAGGCAAAGGCTTTGGGACATTTCACATAGCGACCTGTGATCTCGATCTCATGTAATCTGTGGCCCAGTAGCAGCAGGAATCCAATACAGTGGTACCTTGGGTTAAGTACTTAATTCGTTCCAAAGGTCCGTTCTTAACCTGAAACTGTTCTTAACCTGAAGCACCACTTTAGCTAATGGGGCCTCCTGCTGCACTGCACTGCCGCTGCACAATTTCTGTTCTCATCCTGAAGCAAAGTTCTTAACCCGAGGTAATATTTTCTGTAACCTGAAGCGTATGTAACCTGCAGCGTATGTAACCCAAGGTACCACTGTATGGGTACAACTTTCAGATACCCTCATATCTCAGGAACCTGTCTGTACCAACCTATCGGCATTTATTTACCAAAGCCAAACTAAATGTATTTCCTTCGGAAGTGCTAAATGGTAGACTGAGAGGCATCCCTTATCAGAATAGGCTTTGTTCATGTTCTCAGGACGGCGATTGCATGAAGCATATCTTACTGTATTGTGGGCAGTACAAGCAAGCAAGGGGCCAACTGAAAACTCCTACTGGCAAATCTGCCGGGAAAATCTGAAGCCTCCCATATTAAATATCTTTTGGATGATAGGTCCAATGATATTGCACTGGCCGTGGCAAAGTTTCTTCCGGAAGTCAAAAGAAGCATAGATCATCAAGCTCGAGACGAAACAAAATGACTGCCTCGGTTTCTCTCTCTTTTGTGGTTGGCTGTCTTAACTGTATTTTGTTCTGAAATTGTTCTGTGGGTCTTTGGACGGCAATAAAGATTTATTATTATATACTCAAGCCACACCCACCCACCAGCTGATGTCACTTTGTTTTAGCAACACCTTTGGGACCGCAAGGGACGCAGGTGGCGCTGTGGTCTAAACCACAGAGCCTAGGGCTTGCCGATCAGAAGGTCGCGGTTCGAATCCCTGCAATGGGGTGAGCTCCCGTTGCTTGGTCCCTGCTCCTGCCGACCCAGCAGTTCGAAAGCACGTCAAAGTGCAAGTAAATAAATAGGTACCGCTCCGGCGGGAAGGTAAACAGTGTTTCCGTGCACTGCCCTGGTTCGCCAGAAGCGGCTTAGTCATGCAGGCCACATGACCCGGAAGCTGTACGCCAGCTCCCTCGGCCAATAAAGCGAGATGAGCGCTGCAACCCCAGAGTCAGTCACGACTGGACCTAATGGTCAGGGGTCCCTTTACCTTTGGGACCGCAAAGCACTCGACGTTACCAACAAATTTGGCCTGCGAGGTCAATTCACACAGGGTTGCCAAATTTTGAGCAGTAAATAAGAGGACACATTTGCCAACTTCTACTTTTAACTATGGAATGCTGTAACGATTCTATGCATAAAAAAGACCTGGAAAAAGAGGGCATATGGCAACCCTATGAAAGTTAACAAATATATGACTGATCACTTACCTGGAATACTTGGTCCTCGGTTTCCACCTCTTCAGTATTATTAGAGTTGACCAATAAGTCACTCGCACTCTCCATACTGGCTTCATGATCAATTCCATTTTCTTCCATTACAGAACAGACTAGAAAAGAAATATTTAGAATCTGAACCCCTGGTATTCTGCCATAGTACAGTCTAATTTCCTCTGGCATCTCCTCCTTTCTAGGTAGATTTTGGGACGCGGGTGGCGCTGTGGGTAAAACCTCAAGTGCCTAGGACTTGCCAATAGTATGGTCGGCGGTTCGAATCCCCGCGGCGGGGTGAGTTCCCGTCTTTCGGTCCCAGCTCCTGCCCACCTAGCAGTTCGAAAGCACCCCTAAGTGCAAGTAGATAAATAGGTACCGCTTTATAGCGGGAAGGTAAACGGTGTTTCCGTGTGCTGCGCTGGTGCTGGCTCACCAGAGCAGTTTCGTCACACTGGCCACGTGACCCGGAAGTGTCTCCGGACAGCGCTGGTCCCCGGCCTCTTAAGTGAGATGGGCGCACAACCCTAGAGTCGGACATGACTGGCCCGTACGGGCAGGGGTACCTTTACCTTTTTAGGTAGATTTCACATTTCAGAGACCAATACCTATTTTCATTTGAATTAGTGGTTAAAATTGCAATCCTACACCCAATCACCAGCCACTAAACTCATTGCACTCTGAGGGATTTGATTTTTTAGTAGATTTGTGTACGATTGTGTTGCAAACCCTCTTTGGCATTCCCAAGGCTAAAATACTTTTCATCCTTCATAAAACAGAACTTTCTGACATAATTAATCAGCTTCCATGTTATTAGAATCTCAAGGTAATGCTTTGATGGATTAGCAAGAAAGCATACACTGGAACTGTAAGAATTTCTATTCTTTTTAAAAGTTTCTGGTCCTCAGGACTGCTGCAATAAATTTGGCATCAAGATGGCCAAAAAAAACCCCAATAATCAATCAGAAACAATTTTGGATGTAGTTTGCGAGTCTCTGAGATCCAATTACTTTACTACTTACTATTGGAAAATATAAATATTTGGGGAAGTTGCATTAGAGTAATGTACAGTACACATTTAGGATACCAACTACATTGATTTATTTTTAAAATCCGAGTTCCAGTCTCTAGAAAAAATATGGATTTTGAAGCAAGCCAAACAATCCATCTGTGGCAGGACAACTTTTTACTGTCACATCCTATTTCTGACAATTATTGATATTTGCAGGTATGTGTGTGCAGCCAATCAGCAGTATTGGGGTCTATTTAGAAACAATCCAAACCCTAGCAGTGGTGCAACGAACGGCTTTTCTTTCCCCGACCCCCCAAAAACCAAATTTTTATAACTCTTCCAACAGGTTGAACATACCCTGTGAAACAAAAACAAAAAAGGGTGAGATTGGGTGAGGAGAACAGCAACAGCCTTAAGATGGAGAACAAGAAGTCAACCCCTTGCCAACCACTTTAAAAGATGGGCGGGGTAGAAATAATAAATGATTTAAAAATTATTATTAAAAGTCTTGAGTCAGATTTAAACACTAACCATGAACGGTAAAATGCACATTTACTAAAAGAATGTAAGAGGGAGGAAAATAACCTCCACATTTAAGGGACACGGGTGGCGCTGTGGTCTAAACCAGTGTTTTTCAACCACTGTTCCGCGGCACACTAGTGTGCTGCGAGATGTTGCCTGGTGTGCCGTGGGGAAAATTTAAAAATTCGAAAGATTTAAAAATAAAGTATTTTATAATTTTTCATATTTCTGTTTACTTACTATTTCATAATAAAGTAATTATAAACTACTTTCTTTGTGTTCATTTGATTCCTATTCAAGAGAATTACTTTATATATAGTCAATATAGGCACAGAGTTAAATTTTTTAACATTTTCTAATGGTGGTGTGCCGCGTGATTTTTTTCATGAAACAAGTGTGCCTTTGCCCAAAAAAGATTGAAAAACACTGGTCTAAACCACAGAGCCTAAGGCTTGCCGATCAGAAGATCGGCGGTTCGAATCCCCGCGACGGGGTGAGCTCCCGTTTTAAGCAGTTCTTATATGTAAGCCGCCTTGAGCATCAGGGGAAAAGGCAGGGTACAAATGAATATTTTTGTATTGTGCTTTTAATTCTGTTGGGAACTGCCCAGAGCAGCTGGGGAAACCCAGCCAGATGGGCAGGGTATACATAATTTAATTAATTAATTAATTAATTAATTAATAATATATCAGCATCATCTTAGATTGGCTTGTGCCACGTACAAATGTTTAATTTATGGTGTGCAGAAAATATTTTTTTAAAAAAAAATGTAAGGAGCCTAGGAAAGAGAGGGAAGGAAGCAGAGTTTGGAAATGTCAACACGATTGTAAAGTTATTGAAATGGATAAAATTTAAAGTCACTAATAAATAATGATGACGATGATGACGATGATGATGGAGTCAAGGCTTTTGCCCACACAACAAGCTGAGCTGGGGGGGGGGGGAATTTGTCGACACGATTGTAAAGTTATTGAAATGGATAAAACTTGAAGTCACTAATAATAATAATAATAATAATAATAATAATAATAATAATAATAATAATAATAATAATAATAATAATGGAGTCGTGGCTTTTGCCCACACAACAAGCTGAGCTGGGGGGGGGCCCGGATTTGTCGACACGATTGTAAAGTTACTGAAATGGATAAAACTGAAAGTCACTAATTAATAATAATAATAATAATAATAATAATAATAATAATAATAATAATAATGGAGTCGTGGCTTTTGCCCACACAGCAAGCTGAGCTGGGGGGTGGAATTTGGGGGGGGAGGAATTTGTGGGGGGGAGGGGGCGCCCCTCCACCAGAATATTAAGCCCCAATTTGGGGTGGGGGGGCGACTCGAGCCCCTCCCCCTGCCAGGCAGAAACAGCCCCCCCTCCCTCTTTCCCTCCCTCCTTCCCTGAGGAGGAGGAGGTGGGCAGGGCGGGCCAGGGCGCGCGGCAGCGTGAGTGACGCGACCGGCGACTGCCGCGCGCCCGAGCCCAGCCAGGGGGTGGGGAGGGGGGAAGGGGGAGGGAGGGGAGGGGGGAGGAGGGAAAATTCAGAACGAGTCTACTCAACCTCGTCTTGGGCACCGCCGTGGGAGACCGCGCGGACGGCGCAGGCGCAGGCGCAGCAGTACGCACGCGCCGCGCCCACCAGGCCGCTGCAAGCGAAGGCGAAGGGTTTTTCTTTTGCGACGGGAGCCAACGGGGCACCGTAGAAAACCCGGAAGTACTGGAGTATCCACGTGTTTGTGTGGGTTTTTTCAGAAAGGGTTCGCTGATGGGTTTAGTTATTTATTTATTTATTTATTTATTTATTTATTTATGAATGAATGAATGAATGAATGAATGAATGAATGAATTTTTATTATTTCCTTTAAATGAAATATTATTTCCTTTGATGTATTACAGTATTTTAATATTTTTTTGAAAGCCGCCCAGAGTGGCTGGGGAAGCCCAGCCAGATGGGCGGGGTATAAATAACAAATAATAATAATAATTATTATTATTAAATCATCTTTTTCCATCCGTCCATACAATCACAGTATGTTCCCTTTGGCTCTGCCGAGTCTTGACTTCCCTCCCTCCCTTCAGCTGGTATAGTTATCACATTTTTATCGCGTACATTGTTTTTACATCTCTACTACTTTACGTTGAAGGTGCTTTTTTAAAAAAAGGGTTTCCGTACGCTCACTTGTGCCCAGTTCTGGAGAGGTTCGGAATGGCAATGAACGCTGGTTTGCGGGCTGTTATTAAAATGGAAACGTTGCCAAATGCATGGCACGTTTGTAGACGCGCAGACACGCATCTTGGAAGGGGGAGGTGTTATGAGTTTATTTCTTTTTTGTTCCTATTATGAACTTTGTGTTTTTATGCTGTGAACTGCCCTGAGATCATTAGATAAAGGGCAGTATTAAATAAACATTTCATGCATATACACATAGGTATTTGGGTAGTATAAAAATAACTCAAATATATATCTAGAGAGAGAGAGAGAAATAGATATATATATGAGTTTTATTTTTATATTGCCTTTGTCCATGGAGTTTTCTTGGCAAGGATACTGGAGTGGCTTGCCGGTTCCTCCTCCAGGTGGACCATCAAGAAGGCTGATCGCCGAAGAATTGATGCTTTTGAATTATGGTGCTGGAGGAGACTCTTGAGAGTCCTATGGACTGCAAGAAGATCAAACCTATCCATTCATAAGGAAATCAGCCCTGAGTGCTCACTGGAAGGACAGATCGTGAAGCTGAGGCTCCAGTACTTTGGCCACCTCATGAGAAGAGAAGACTTTCCCTGGAAAAGACCCTGATGCTGGGAAAGATGGAGGGCACAAGGAGAAGGGGACGACAGAGGACGAGATGGTTGGATAGTGTTTTCGAGGTTACCAGCATGAGTTTGACCAAACTGCGGGAGGCAGTGGGAGACAGGAGTGCCTGGCGTGCTCTGGTCCATGGGGTCACGAAGAGTCGGACACGACTAAACGACTAAACAACAACAACAACAACATTTTTATATTACCCAACTTCCTTCAACTCAGATGGGTATAAATAGGAATAACAGGCTGCAAACCCAGCATAAGTTTACAGCACAAAGCACATTTTCCCCACCCTGAGAACTAATTTCCTGAGAATTGTAGCTCCGGGACTGCAGCTCCCAGGATTCAAGCGGGGGAACGGACGTGGAGAAGGAAATATAATTTTTTAAAATATAGTGTACGCCTTTTTTGGGGCACGGAGGAACCAATTGAAAAGCAACAACCCATCGACTTCGTGGCTTATGTAGGAAGTGGGGGGCGAGAAGAGAGGGAGGAAAAAATAAAAGCTGGTTCTTTACCTTTAAGGGCAGACTAAACTAATCGCTCGCTGAGGCGACTCCATCGGCCCCACGGCACAGGGCGGAAGCAACTCTGAAGCCACGTGGGACGAGGCGCTGCTGATTCTGGGGAGAGACAGAAATATCCCAGCCTTTGAAATGGCGCAGCTTCAGGCTCGCTTCTTCACTGAGGACACGAAGTAAGTACATCGCCGGGGTCTGGAAGGACATAACTGGGTCATCTCAGCAATGGCAATTGTGGTTGAAGCGCTGCTCTTAAGCAAAGTCCATTTTGGCATGCCTCTTGCACTTTATGGTCTTTTGGCCTCAGCCATTCATTCATATAGATGTATATGTACGTGTATGCAATATTATCATTCATTCTTATCAGGGGCAGGGTGATGGGGTCAACCAAATAACAGAACCTTTTGGAAACTTACCAGATTGTCTTCCAGTATCTATAACTGAAGTCAAGAACCTTATTTCACAGTTAAGAAGCAATAAAGCACCAGGCGTAGATTATTTGCCCCCCAGAATCTAACATTGACTGATGGGCCTCCCTGGTGGCGGTAATATTCTCATTTATTGATTCATCTGGGTTATTTCCCAAAGTTTGGGGCACAGCGGTAGTCATCCCTATATTCAAAAAGGGCCTTACCTCCAATCCAGCTAGTTATAGACTAGTTAGCTTGCTACCTGTAATTAGCAATTATATGCAAAGGATCTTAGTTGATTGGATATATGTGTGTAATCTGTATCCACGTGCTTGCATTTCATCGGTTTTTTGCCTCAGCCATCTCTCTCAAACATGCTTCTATCTGTGGCACCTGAGGGTAGCAATTTGTGCATGTTGTAAAATGGGCAAAAGTGCAGGAAATCTTGTGCCTAGTGCCTTTAAAGTGCCACAGATGGTTTGTTTGTTTGTTTGTTTTGATTCCAAAACAATTCTCTTGGGTTTGGTTAGTCATTCAGGTTGGGGGTAGATGTTACTGGGATTTGATATGGGTGGCAGGGCCCATAGTCGCCTTTGACTGGACTTAACCGTCCAGGGGTCCTTTACCATACCTATACGATGGTATAGTACATGAGTCTGCTCTTAAAAGGTAAAATATTTCCCATGAAGACGATGGTGGAAGTTTGAGATTGATTTTACCCTTTTCTGAATACTGTGTGCAACTGTTTTCTCTCCACAGATACGCAGTAGATGATGTTCCTTTCTCTGTCCCAGCTGCTTCTGAAGTTGCTGATCTCAGTAATGTTATCAACAAATTGCTGGAAGCAAAAAATGGTACGTTTATGTTTGAGGGAAGTGGTTTTAAAAGTTTGCTCCCTTGCTATTAGTCAAGAGTTAATTTTAGGAGTCTGTAGATGTGGTTACCACACATACAACTAATCACAGTTTACAGTTTTACAGAATTAATTTTTGCTATTAAACACATGATGCTATAGATATCACCTCAGCAAATTCCGTATAAACGCACATTAATTTATTACATTTATATTCAACCCTTCCTCCCAAAGCATATCTTATTTAGCAAAGCACACTAGAGTGGAGATACACAATTTGGGGCACAAGTCAATTTGTAGATTATGAATGAATTATTTATTTATCACATTTGTAGTTCACGCTTCATCTCAAAGTGTCAGAACACTGTTATCCCTGGAGCAGTTTTTTTGTCGTATGGGCTAGGTTGGGAGACAGTGACTTAGCCAAGGGTCTCCAGTGATCTTTACAAGGAGCAATCTGAACCCAGGGTGAGAACTTCAGTACATAACAATGACCCCATGGACCAGAGCATGCCAGGCACTCCTGTCTTCCACTGCCTCCCGCAGTTTGGTCAAACTCATGCTGGTAGCTTCGAGAACACTGTCCAACCATCTCATCCTCTGTCTTCCCCTTTTCCTTGTGCCCTCAATCTTTCTCGACACCAGGGTCTTTTCCAGGGAGTCTTCTCCTCTCATGAGGTGGCCAAAGTATTGGAGCTTCAGCTTCAGGATCTGTCCTTCCAGTGAGCACTCAGGGCTGATTTCCTTAAGAATGGAGAGGTTTGATCTCTCCATTCTGGGTCCCACAGATCAAATTAGTACTGCCTACTTCATTATACTGACTCTCACTGTGGTACCCAGTTGTATTCATGCTGTGGTCACAGGGCCATTTCACACAGTAAGTTTCTTGTCCAGAAAGTTGGCCCTTGCCTTCCTTGGGTACATGTTCAAATAGACAAAATCTCTGCACAATCTCTGATAATCTCTATGATTATTTTTTGTTTCTTCATGATCGCTTGCCCAGAGAAATGTATTTTGTCTGGGGGTTCAAAGAATATTACAGTTGGAACCAAGATGCTGTAACATCCAACTTGCTCAATATGTAAAGTGTATCAGTGATATAACTTCTGGTTTGGGGAGCTGAATCTTATCTGCTAACAAAAAACTTGAGAATTTTTGTATTCCCCTGGATAAAGTTTGGTTGCCTGTGATAACTTGGTAATATGAGTGTGTATTGTACAGGAATAACTGAAGGCTACATTTTAGACATAGGCACCAAGACTTCTCAAATGTACAGTGTAAACTGCATCTTCTGAGTATCGTATAAGCTATGCAACCTGACACTTTGTGTTTTCTTTGTCTCTAGAAGGCCACAAATATGTGGAATTTGATTTCCTTATTAACGGACAGTTCTTGCGCATGTCCCTGGTGAGGCACATGGAAGTGGAAAATATCTCAACTGTAAGTCGTGTGTGTGTGTGTGTGTGTGTGTGTAGAGTATAGGCTCTGGATAATGAGAGTAAGAAATATAGAATCATCCAGTTAAATTTGTGCAAAACTCCCAATTATTGTATCAGGCTGTCTAGCCTGCAAATGTATGACCGAGCAATTCTATCCTTCAGAGCTGCTAGCTAGAGGGGGTTTAGGATTGGTTAAAAGTGTGTGTGCAGTTGGGAGCCCACATCTGCTACAGAGGCCTCTGTTGTTCCCATAAGTCATGGGTTTGCTGCTTGCAGTAGCCAGTGTAAGGCGCTGGAACAAAGCATTCTATCAGCAGAGATGGTCTTGAATGCATTGGACCAAAAAGCCCTTCCATTCTCATGAGAGGCCCAGAATTGAGTCCCTTACTTGAATTAGCCAGGATCTGGTGCAGGTAATTTGCCCCCTTGGTTTCAGGGGGGCAGAGGGAACTGGAAGAAAATAAGGATTTCTTATAAGAGACCACCTTGTTTTGTTTTCAGTATCTATGTATGGCTTTTCCTAAGCAACATACAAATCATAATCTTAAATAAGTATATAGTAGACTAAGTGCAGGAGGCGGGTGGCGCTGTGGGTTAAACCACAGAGCCTAGGACTTGCCGATCAGAAGGTCGGCGGTTCAAATCCCCGTGACGGGGTGAGCTCCCGTTGCTTGGTCCCTGCTCCTGCCAACCTAGCAGTTTGAAAGCACGTCAAAGTCCAAGTAGATAAATAGGTACCACTCCGGTGGGAAGGTAAACGGCGTTTCCGTGCGCTGCTCTGGTTCACCAGAAGTGGCTTAGTCCTGCTGGCCACATGACCCGGAAGCTGTACGCTGGCTCCCTTGGCCAATAAAGCGAGATGAGCGCCGCAACCCCAGAGTCGGCCACGACAGGACCTAATGGTCAGGGGTCCCTTTACCCTTTAGGCTAAGTGCATCTGTGAGGTCCTGAAGAACGGTTTTCTCTCTGGTCTTTCCTTTGACATTCTTGCCTAGCGCTCCTGTTGGGCAGTTTGCACCTGGAGCATAGCAGCCTTTCAGGACTGCCAGTGTAGCTCAGTAAAGCTAACAGCGAGTGGGTGCTGGCTTGTATCATTCATCTCCAGCAGGTGGTCTTGCACAAAGGAGCCGAGGCTGATCATCGTCATCATTTTATTTGTATGCTGCCTTTCCATAGCTGAAACTATGCTCAAGGCAGCTTACAACATGAAAAGACTTAACATAATTACAAACGTAACAGAAGTCATAAACAACAACAAATAAAACAGATCAAAAAGTACACAACCTAATGGAAACAATTTCCACATAAATCTTAAGATTTAAAACTAAAGATACAACAATTATATCAGTAACAGCAACAAGCTCTCTCAGCACCCCGTAAACAATACTCCAGTCCACGAATCTGTTCAACAGCCTCAGCTTTTGTAGCTGGAGTCAGTCCGCACTCCCTCTCCCAGGCCAGATGGGAAAGGGCCAGCCAGGCAGGGTGCAGGTCTTCCAGGGCTCAGAGCCAAGGTGGTCTCATTTAAAGCAACACAGATAAAAATTAAAAGCAATTTGAAAGAGGAGCCCTCGGTGCTAAGCAGCAGCCGCAGTCCTTGTGAAGCCTCTCTGCTGCAGAAGAAATTTTCCTCTGAAACCTCCGTGGCTGATCCTTTCCTTTGACATGTTTTGTGTGCGCAGGAAGAAGTAGTAGCAATAGAGTATGTTGAAAAATACACTGCTCCGCAACCTGAAGAATGCATGCTCCATGATGATTGGATCAGTTCTATTGAAGCTACAGAAGAATGGTAAGGGAGACATGCTACTTCTTTCCTAATCTCTTTTGTCTGACTTACTGCCTGTAGGATATCGCCTTGCATTATTTCTTTTTTTATTTCTGATTTTTCACTTCTATACATTTCAGTGATTTTACAATCATTTTAACATTCCAAAACTCGGCTTCCTACCCCCTCTTTCTGCAGTTCCTTAAATTTCTTATATATATATTTTCTGCATATTCCAAATTAACTTACTCATTTATTCATCGGCTTTAAATATATCCTCTTATAAAACTGCAGGTTATTACAATGATCCTGCCAATGTCCTTATCTGTTTAGAGTTTATTTGTAAATATTCAATAAACCATTTCCATTCTTTTATAAAAAGTTTGTTACCTTGGTTTCTTATTTTTCCGGTAAGTTTCGCCATTTCTGCGTATTCCGAAAGTTTTTGTATCCATTTTTCTTTCGTCTTGTTTTATTTCGCTCACCATGTTGAAGGCACAGCGTCAGTTTATTCATTCTTTTCCTCCTTTCCTCTCTGTCTTTTAAATAAACATATTTTTTCCCATTCAAAATCTCCACTTGAACTTTCAAACCGCACAGAAGGTAAGTATATGTGAATATAGTAAGCAGTTTAGTGTGATGTCCCCGCAGAGAATGGATGGTGGCATTGTCTTATAGATTTGCAGCTTTAAATGTGTGCAGTATCTATAGCCCAAGAGCTTTGCTGGGAAAGGATTCTTCATTAACAAACATAATATCTTAGCATAATATTCCAAAAAAATTGAAATTGCACAGTGTGTCAAGTGCTCGATTAAAGCCCATAAAGTAAAAGATGTATCCTGTGTAGACAACCACCAAGCAGGTTTTTTGCTTCTAAATTCCATAGGATATTGACAGGCTCCTATGACCAGACATCTCGGATTTGGTCAGTAGAAGGCAAACCCATAATGACGCTTGCTGGACATGTAGATGTGGTTAAAGATGTGGCCTGGGTCAAAAAAGGTAAGTAGATTTTACTCTGTTTGGGGTTTCAGCTTCAATAAATTTCACAGAAAGCTCACAACCCCGAATTGTTAAGTTATTTCCAAACTGAAATCCAACACAGAAAGTAACACCTTAAAGACTTAACAAATTTATCGAAATACTTTTTTTGCTTTCGCTGCATCAGAATAACCTAGCCACCTCTCAAATTCCACTCTTCTTTGCAATTCCTCCTGTGCAATTGTTGCCACATTACGTGGCAGTTTTGTGTTGAAACAAAGGCCTCAGGATCAAAGTTCCATTGGGTAATAATAATAATAATAATAATAATAATAATAATAATAATTTATTTCTACCCTGCCCATCTGACTGGGTTTCACCAGCCACTCTGGGCAGCTTTCAACAGAACATTAAAAACAGAATAAAACTTCAAGCGTTAAAAACATCCCTAAACAGGCCTGCCTGATGTTATACCGAGGCCTCTGACTGCATTCATGGCCATTAAACTGGGAATGTGTATGAGTGACTGTCATATTCTGTTTACTTCTACATTCCTAGCAGCCCTGTGACATCCTTCTGCATTGCCTCAGCTCCAAATTGATCCCATCCTCGGCCTGTTTATAATCGTTTTGTAAACTCTTCATCATATTTGAACGGGTTGGGAGAATTAGGAGAGGGTTGGTTTGGGGAAAGACTGCTGTGTGAACCTGTCTGCTATGCCTGCATCCCTCAGATAGTTTGTCATGCCTGCTGCTTAGTGCATCGATGGACCAGACTATCCTGCTGTGGGAATGGAATGTAGAAAAGAACAAAGTGAAGGCCCTTCACTGCTGCAGAGGACATGCAGGAAGCGTAGAATCTGTCGCTGTGGATGGCTCAAGGACGAAAGTAAGTTGTATTGACTGCCCTTTCCTCCCTCCCTCTCACCCAAGCAGTTGAGACAGTTGATGTTGTTTCACATAAAAGGCAACACTATAGCATCTGCTCTCCATCTTCTGATAACTGGAAACCTTGCACTAATAATAGTAATAATAATACCTTTAATGTCAATGTACAACCTGTGTACAATGAAATTAACTTAGCCTCCCCCCCCCCCGCCACAAACACTCAATCTCATTGCACTTTGTGTGCTTGTCGCACAACACACCAACCCCGAAACTCAGTTGCACTATTATTATTTTCCGATCAGTAGCCTAACAGCCCACGGGTAGAAACTGTTTTTTAGCCTGTTGGTACGACTGATTATACTTCTATATCTCCTGCCCGAGGGTAGAAGATAAAAGAGCTGCTGGCCGGGGTGTGAATCGTGCCTGAGAATATTTCTCGCTCTCCTAAGGCAACGATCCCTTGCCGATGTCGTCTAGCAGGCTTAGGGGACAGCCCATGATATCATGTGCCATATTCACCACCCTCTGTAAACACTCAGAGATGTGAAATTATGGCATGGGGCATCCATCTCTTTCCCTCCCTCCCTCCCCCACTTCCTGATTTTCTATTCTCCAGTAAAACCATGGGGAATTATTTTGGTGAGGAATTGTTTAGCTGAAGGCTGAGGAAGGTGCTTTCAGCCTCAAGATTTTTAAAAATAAACGTAAAAGCTCATTCAAAAGGGTATGGGAACTTCCCCGGGTCCTGTCTGAATCTGGTTTGGAGTCAAATCAAGCCTATTTTACCGTATTTTTCCATCTATAAGACGATGTTTTTTGCTAAAAGATTTTAGTCAAAATTTGGGGGTCATCTTATACACGGTATTGAATGCACAGGGGTTTGGGCTCTGGCTCTGGTATGGGTGGGCTGGGTTCAGGCTGTGGTGCTGGTGGCCCAGGTTGTGGTTCAAACTTGGACTGTGGCACGGGTAACCCAGACTTCGGTTCGGGCTTGGCCTCTGGCCCGATTTCTTAATTTTGTGTTAACAAAAATAGGGGCGTCTTATGTGGGCGTCTTATACATGGAAAAACACAGTGACTCACTTGAGTTAAGCCTGTTCTGAAATCAAGCTTTGGGTAACTTGCCCATCACAAATGATAGCTAGCTAAAATGTGCCATTTTTGTTGAAAACTGTTTTGTGGTGTGTTTAGTTTTGCAGTGGATCCTGGGATAAGATGCTAAAGATCTGGTCTGCAGGTAAGATCAGTGTTTAACTATGTGCTTCCTTTGACCTTTCATCTAATAACTCCCAGCGCCTTTGTCTACAACTCTGCATGCTTATGATACATTGATTTATTTAACAGGATTTGTATACTGCTTATTTGTAAATGAAACCTCTGAGTGGTTTACATGTGGGCAGACCCTTCTTTTCATGAACTTGAACCACCTTTTCTGGCAAACTGAAGCTGCCCCAGACATTGCAGTTTGAAGCTGCGTGCAAATACTTTTGCTAACTGCACGAGAAGCTCAAAATGTGGTGCTGTGTTGCAGAATTGTAAATTCTCACGTGTGTATGTATATCAGTCCTGTGAGTTTGGAGACTACTTCGTTTCACCATAGGGGTTAGGTTCAATTAATGTGTGAACTGCACAGGCCACCTGTCTCGTAGCTCCATGAAAACATACCTCAAAGTCCTATTGATTTGCTTAACTCACATGTAGGAACAGGGCCTGTTTCCATCTCAATCTCGCCAGATTATGAGGATGTCCTATTCGCTTGGAGTCCATGTGCATAAGCCGCTGTTTACATGAAGGGCTTCCTTGTCAGATGTTGTGTTCAACACAGGAAGGCAGAGAGAAGCATGGAAAATAGGATGCAACATTGGGATCAGGGCTAGGAGCATGGCCCCACTTCTGCTACACATGAGGAAATAGTGGCTATTGAAGGACAGGCCATGGTGACCTGGTTTGCCAGACTTGTAGCTATTGCAAACAAGTAAATGTGCAGGCTCAGAGTGACGATCACAACCGCAGTGCTCCTTCGCTGGCCCTTCTGCCACCACGTTAACCAGTGCTAAGCCATGGTTTGGTTTAAGTCAGCGTTTCTCAAACTTGGGTCCCCAGCTGTTGTAGGATTACAACTCCATCATTGTTGACCACTACAACTAAGCCAAAATGCGGCAGCTAGGCTGATGACTGGGAGTGGCCGCCAATACCATATAACACCGGTCCTGCCTCCCAGTACGTTTCTGAGCACAATTCAAAGTGTTGGTGCTGACCTTTAAAGCCCTAAACGGCCTTGGCCCAGTATACCTGAAGGAGCGTCTCCACTCCCATCATTCAGCCCAGACACTGAGGTCCAGCTCCGAGGGCCTTCTGGTGGTTCCCTCCCTGCAAGAAGTGAGGTTACAGGGAACTAGGCAGAGGGCCTCTTCGGTGGTGGCACCTGCCCTGTGGAACACCCATCCAGTGTCAAGGAAATAAACAACTATCTCACTTTCAGAAGACATCTGAAGGCAGCCCTGTTTAGGGGAAGTTTTTAATGTCTGTTTTAGCATGTTTTTAATATTCTGTTGGGAGCCGCCCAGAGTGGCTGGGGAAGGCCAGCCAGATGGGAAGGGTATAAATAATAAATTATTATTTTTATTATATTAATTATGGTCCTGCTAGCTAGGGATGATGGGAGCTGTAGACCAACAATAGCTGGAGACTCAGGTTTGAGAAACGCTGGGTTAAGTGCTGCATCGGAGTGAGTCCAGACTTGTGGTTCGTATCACTCGTAAACCTTAGTTACAACTCGTGGATTATTTGGAGGGAAACAAACCACAAATCTGGATGTACTAAACCGTATTTTAACAGCAGCTGCAGGACTGGGAGAGGACTGCTGCGACTGTGATCTTCAATCTGAGAACTGATGTTATGCAAAAAAAAATTAAAAAAAAATCGGGCAAAACACTTCATGTTCCTAAGAGAAGCCCCTACAACCTCTGCCACAATAAATTAAGATGTCACAGGAAACTAAATCAGGTGTGGGAAACCTTTGGCCCTCCAGATGTCGCTGAACTACAGTGCCCATCAGCTCCCAACAAATAGGTTCAGTAGCCAGGGATGATAAAGCGGTGTAGTTCAGCAATGTCTAAAAAGCCAAGGTTGCCCACACCTGACCTTAAGCACCTAGTATGACTACAGCAAGCTGGCTCCACAATTCCAAAAGCTTTTATTTGGAAGTTAATTCCATTGGACGACATCTAGCTCATACTTGGATTTCTCCCAATGACTAAAATGCTTGCTTCCATGGAATTGAGTTAATATGGCAATTGATCAGTGTTCTTGGGGGAAATGTTCAAATTGCAGGCCAGCATTTAAATTAGAACTAATAGTGATTCTTCATATCACAGATTTGTTGATAATTAGATTTACCGTATTTTTCGCTCTATAAGACGCACCAGACCACAAGACTCACCTAGTTTTTGGAGGAGGAAAACAAGAAAAAAAAATTCTGAATCTCAGAAGCCAGAACAGCAAGAGGGATCGCTGCGCAGTGAAAGCAGCAATCCCTCTTGATGTTCTGGCTTCTGGGATAGCTGCGCAGCCTGCATTCGCTCCATAAGACGCACACACATTTCCCCCTACTTTTTAGGAGGGAAAAAGTGAGTCTTATAGAGCAAAAAATACGGTATTCTTTTTTTACAAAAATCCAATTTATAGCAATAGGAGATTGACCAGCGAGTGGTCGTATGGTTAAAATGACCGTATTTTTTTATTTCAGTGCCTACGGATGAAGAGGATGAAATGGAAACGGAGGAGGTGGCAAACAGACCAAGGAAAAAGCAGAAAACTGAGCAGTTGGGACTAACAAGAGTAAGACAAACCTGGATTGTGTAGAAATTCCTTTGAGGGGATGTGGGGTTCGGGCCTAACATTACCAGCCAGCTATAGCTCCAGGGACCTGCTGGCTGCAGTTGTGACATTTGCCTTAGTTTCCCCAAAATGCAGTGCTCTGTAAGTTCCACTTGGACTTAAGAAAAGCCCTGCTGAGTCAGATCAAAGGCCCATGTAGTCCAGCATCCTGGCCAATCAGATGCACACAGGAAACTGCAAGCAGGACTTGAGTGCTGCAGCTTCCTTCCTGCTTGTCTTCCCCAGTATTTTGAGGCATATAGTCTTCAGTACTGAAGCTGGTACACAGCCATGACTGGTAATTATCGAATGCCGTCCATGAATTTGTCTAAACCCCTTTTGAACGATCCAAGTTAGATGTGTCTGGCAATTGTCCTTTTATATATATATGTGGGATTTGATAGCACCGTGATCACTGTTTTGAGAGAGATCATCATCATCAACGACAACAACATAATACTTTATTATTGATACCCCACCCATCTTGCTGGGTTTCCCCAGCCACTCTCGGCTGCTCCCAACAGAATACAGCCGTACCTTGGAAGTCGAACGGAATCCTTTCTGGAAGTCCGTTCGAAAAACAAAGCACGGCTTCTGATTGGCTGCAGGAAGCTCCTCGGACATTTGGCTTCCAAAAGAACGTTAAAAAACCAGAACAGTCACTTCCAGGTGTCCATCTTTCAGGAGTCAAAACGTTCAAGAACTAGGCTGTTTGACTTCCAAGGTACGACTGTAGTAAAACACGATAAAACATGAAACATTGAAAACTTCCCTAAACAGGGCTGCCTTTAGAGGTCTTCTAAAAGTCAGATACTGTAGTTGTTTATTTCCTTGACATCAGATGGTAGGGCGTTCCACAGGGTGGGCATCGCCACCGAGAAGGCCCTCTGCCTGGTTCCCTGTAACCTCACTTCTCGCAGTGAGGGAACTGCCAGAAGGCGCTCGGCCCTGGACCTCAATGTAAACGAAGGTCCTCGCAACTTACCAGGTCCTGGTAACCACGAAATAAAAGTCCAGAGTCACTGATCCTCTGGTTGGTTCTGTGGTCGGCTGTCCTAGGGCACAGTCATTGAGGCTATCTAGAAATGTTGCCTCTTTTGTGACTGGAACACACATTTATCCAGTATAAAGGTAAAGGGACTCCTGACCATTAGGTCCAATTGTGACCAACTCTGGGGTTGCGGCGCTCATCTTGCTTTACTGGCCGAGGGAGCCGGCGTACAGCTTCCGGGTCATGTGAGCAGCATGGCTAAGCCGCTTCTGGCGAACCAGAGCAGTGCTAGGAAACGCCGTTTACCTTCCCACCGGAGCGGTACCTATTTATCTACTTGCACTTTGACGTGCTTTCGAATTGCTAGGTTGGCAGGAGTAGGGACTGAGCAACGGGAGCTCACCCCATCGCGGGGATTCGAACCGCCGAGCTTCTGATCAGCAAGCCCTGGGCTCTGTGGCTTAACCCACAGCTCCACCCACGTCCCTTTTATCCAGTATATATGATGGTAATTGAAATCACCCATTACTACAACAATTACTCCTATTGGATGCCTCATTGAATTCCTTCTCCATCTCAAGATCAGCTTGGACATTTTTGTCAGCTGGGAGATGGTGCTTTCCTAGTGCTAAATTACTCTTGAGGCTCAGCATTGCCAACCACAGAGAATCTGTGGAGGGGTCTACCAATTTTGGCATTTCCAACTTGTTGTACAGTGGTACCTCGGGTTACAAACGCTTCAGGTTACATACGCTTCTGGTTACAGACTCCGCTAACCCAGAAATAGTACCTCGGGTTAAGAACTTTGTTTCAGGATGAGAACAGAAATTGTGCTCTGGCGGCACAGCGACAGCAGGAGGCCCCATTAGCTAAAGTGGTACCTCAGGTTAAGAACAGTTTCAGGTTAAGAACGGACCTCAGGAACGAATTAAGTACTTAACCCGAGGTACCACTGTACTGTTATTTTTTTTATGTACAGAGTGTCGCCTCCTCCAGCAAGCCATTCGCTGTGTCCCACAGCTAAGAACACAAAAATGTGCTGATTGCCAAAGTTGTGTGCCTTGTTTTTGCCTAGAGTGCAACAACAGAGGCATTGCTTGGGGGCGGGGGCGACTAAGATGGCAGCTGCCATCGCCAAGGGAGAGAGGACGCATTAGATAGCTGTCTACTAAGCCCTGGAGCCAATTCCCGTGGGTTGAAATGGAGGGAAATAGCAAAATCCCATGCGGGTTACATATGCTTCAGGTTATATACGCTTCAGGTTACATACGTTTCAGGTTACATGCTCCGCTAACCCAGAAATATTACCTCATGTTAAGAACTTTGCTTCAGTATGAGAACAGAAATTGTGCAGCGGCAGCGGGAGGCCCCATTAGCTAAAGTGGTGCTTCAGGTTAAGGACAGTTTCAGATTAACAACAGACCTCCAGAACAAATTAAGTTCTTAACCTGAGGTATAATAATAATAATAATAATAATAATAATAATAATAATACATTATTTATACCCTGCCCAACTGGCTGGGTTTCCCCAGCCACTCTGGGCGGCTTCCAACAAAAGATTTAAAACACATTAAAACATCAGTCATTAAAAACTTCCCTAAACAGGACTGCCTTCAGATGTCTTCTAAACATCAGATAGTTGTTTATCTCTTTGACATCTGGTGGGAGGGCGTTCCACAGGGTGGGTGCCACTACCGAGAAGGCCCTCTGTTCTTAACTCGAGGTACCACTGTATATGTATAGACTTAACAGCATTAGTGAACAAGCTCGTTTCACAAAATGAAATATTTCAATAATCATATCCTCCCAATATTTATTTTTCCTGTCTAGACTCCTGTTACAACCCTCTCTGGTCATACAGAATCGGTCTCTTCTGTACTTTGGTCAGATACAGATGAAATATGCAGTGCTTCATGGGACCACACAATTAAGGTGTGGGATGTTGAAACAGGGGGCCTCAAATCCACTTTGGTGAGTTCTCTTGCAAACCAAGTTCGCCATTTCTCAGATTGCTTAACTGCCTTCAACAAAGAGTTTTGTACAAAGTCTAAAGAGCAATTCATTAATTACTTCTACTCAGGATGAATAAAAATCAATGATTATTATTTTTTAAAAAAATCTGATTTTTAAAATTTAAATCAGATTTTTTAAATTTAAATCGGATTTTTAAAATAAAATTCTTTTGGAGGAAAAATATTTCTAAAGATAGCTTTCTATTTAAGTTACATTATAGTCCAAAGGCTATTCCTCAGGAAATAAGGATTTGTTTTAAGTTTTTCATGTGTGCTAAAACTCTGTTTAAGTTTAAAAAAAAAAAAAGTTTAACCACATCAGTTAACAAACATGGATATATATGCTATAATGTTATTGTTAAATAAATTGTTTAAATTGTTATTAAGGAAATGATTGTTTTTCTCCTTCCAATAAAGTATAGCAGAAAAGTTGTCCAAATATAAACAGTTAATTCATTAAGGTAAAAGGTAAAGGAACCCCTGCCCGTACGGGCCAGTCTTGACAGACTCTGGGGTTGTGCGCCCATCTCACTCAAGAGGCCGGGGGCCAGCGCTGTCCGCAGACACTTCCGGGTCACATGGCCAGCATGACAAAGCTGCATCTGGCGAGCCAGCACCAGCGCCGCACACGGAAACGCCGTTTACCTTCCCGCCAGTAAGCAACGCGGGTGGCGCTGTGGGTAAAAGCCTCAGCGCCTAGGGCTTGCCGATTGAAAGGTCGGCGGTTCGAATCCCCGCGGTGGGGTGCGCTCCCGCTGCTCGGTCCCAGCGCCTGCCAACCTAGCAGTTCGAAAGCACCCCTGGGTGCAAGTAGATAAATAGGGACCGCTTACTGGCGGGAAGGTAATTCATTAAACCTCACAATAATTTCATAACTATTTGTCTATGTATTTCTAATAGTATAAGCAAATCAGCAATTTTTGATATAGCTGTAAAAACTACTCTGCAAATTTATTATTCCAAAAATGAAACTTTCATCTGGTTGTAAATAGTAAGATTATGCCAGCAAGAATGAGTCTTTCTGTAAAAAGAAATGATTTAAATCAAGTCTTACTGACTAGTGTTTTAAATCCACCCTACTTCTTTCTACTCTTATTTTTACATAGACTGGAAACAAAGTGTTCAACTCTATATCCTACTCGCCATTGTGTCGGCGTTTAGCCTCTGGAAGCACTGACAGACACATTAGGTTATGGGACCCTCGTACCAAAGGTGGGTAGAACAGAATGTATACAGTGGTACCTCGGGTTGCAAATACAAATACAGTAGCTAATATCAATGTATTTTTCTGCTAACGCTGATAATAACTTGTAATTGACATAATTGAAGTACAGTGGTACTTTGGGTTACATACGCTTCAGGTTACAGACTCCACTAACCCAGAAATAGTACCTCAGGTTAAGAACTTTGCTTCAGGATGAGAACAGAAATCGTGCTCTGGCGGCGCAGCAGCAGCAGGAGGCCCCATAAGCTAAAGTGGTGCTTCAGGTTAAGAACAGTTTCAGGTTAAGTACGGACCTCCGGAATGAATTAAGTACTTAACCCAAGGTACCACTGTATTCCTGAGAGAATTTTTGCAAATAGTGTGTGCACATGTACACACACACACACACGAGTTACATTTTTAAAATTATTATTATTTCAAGCATTTATTGAGCTATACATACCTGCTTTCGAATAAACTTTCTGGTGAGGCTTCCCAACCCTGATTGACTGGTGGCATACTTTGGTAACCCAGAGTCAGGAAGAGCTGCTATAAACTTCCACTTCTATGCAGTGGTTATGGCAGCGTTTGTAAAGCTCTCTATATGCAGGGATCATAACTCAGTGGTAGAGGACATGTTTTACCATACACAGTGTCTCTGGTCCGGTCCCTGGCCCCTCTAGTTAGGAAGAAACAGGTTGTAAGTTATATGAGGTTACAGGGAACCAGACAGAGGGCCTTCTCGGTAGTGGCACCTGCCCTGTGGAATGCCCTCCCTTCAGATGTGAAGGAAATAAGTAGCTATCTTATCTTTAAAAGACATCTGAAGGCAGCCCTGTTCAGGGAAGTTTTTAATATTTAATGCTGTATTGTTTTTAACACTCGATTGGAAGCCGCCCAGATTGGCTTGGGAAACTCAGCCAGATGGGCGGGGTGTAATGGGTTTAGGGGTTGCTCATGCGTAAGTTGCCGCCACTCCTGGCTAGGTTACCTGGTTAACCCTTTCTGACTGAACAGCCTCCAGCATCGTGGCTGTCTCAGTCGCTGGCAGAATCCGTCAGTGGGCGTTTCTTGAACCTCTTCCAGCATAAAAGCTGTTTGACGCCAAGTCTCCCGCTGGTCTCCAGCGAGGAGTCCTGGAGCCTCCTCTCCGATTCCCCTATCTGCCCCCCTTCTCCACTGGTGTTACGCTGATTTCCTTCCCCAGCAGATGGGCTGCCTCTCTCCCTGCTGGGACCCTCTCCAGCATCACTCGGGAGCCTTCCCTCCGCCTCTAGCTCCGATGGCAGTTCCCTGACACGGGGTATAAATAATAAATTATTATTATAAATTATTATTATTCTTTTGCCTCAGACATTGGAGAGCAGCTGCCAGTCTGGGTACACAAATTTGGGCTAGACGGATAAAAAAATCTGACCTGGTATATGGCAACTTCCTAATTCCTTCATCTGGCTTGCAGATGTCCTGTTTTTACTGATTATATCACTAATGTGCTACTTTTAACAAACATTTGTTTTGGTCTTTGTAAAGAAACATTTCATCTCAGTAGTGGCCTAGGGAGTGGTCATTGTCTCCTACTTTCTGTTTGATTTCAGCACATTTACTAAAAATGCTGGCTATTACTATTTTTGTATCAATTGCGTACTCGGTTTCACCCTGCTGTATGCTTGTAAAAATTTTGAGTGTTTTGTGTGACTCATCAGTTGTGGCTAGTGAGACTTGTCTGCCTCTTTTCAGATGGTTCTTTGGTACTGCTTTCTCTTACCTCACATACTGGCTGGGTGACATCAGTGAAGTGGTCACCGACACATGAGCAACAGCTCATCTCTGGTTCTTTAGACAACGTTGTCAAACTTTGGGACACAAGAAGGTAAACTTTAAACCCTGGGTTTTTGTTGGACTTTTGCCATATGGATTTGTGCTACTGGATGACACACAAACTGAAGAAATGTCACTATAGAATATTTAGGGTAATTGATATTGAATATTTTGAATATTTGAATATTTTAGGGCAATTGAATATTTGAATATTTAGGTCAATTGATCTTGATTTGAAGGGTTCTGACTAGATCTTAAGTCTGATTTTAGCAATATTCTCATCGATATTAGTTCTGCACCTGCAAATGTCTCCCTAAGCATTGTGTCTGATGCAATTCTGTTTTTCTAAGGATTATGGCACAGCAGGACCGTGGGGTTTTTAATTTATTGCATTTACCAATTGCTTTATACAACATGAAGTCTCAAAGTGACTTGGCAAGGTAGAATGCAATCCATAAAAGCAGTTCAGAAAAATAAAAAGATTTAAAACAGTGAACAATGCAAAATACATTAAAATGCTCATCCAGAAACACATTATTAATAAGGACAAGTCTTACGCACCCCATTGAAAGATGAGGATCACTGTGAGGAACAAGATCAAGTAGCCAAAGGCCTGCGTAAACAAAAAGGTCTTAGCCCGGCACCTAGAGACTGACAGGGATGATGCCAGGAACATCGACCTCCGAAAACATTCATTGGATGGGAGGCCACCAATGAAAAGGCCTGTTCATATGTGGTCATCCTCATCTTCCTTGAGTGGGGCACACAGAGAAGGGCCTTCAATGAAGACCATAGTGTCTCAGCTAGTTCATATGGGAAGAGATGGTCCTTGAGGTATTGGAGTCCTGAGCAATATAGCGCTCTATAGGTCAAAATCAGCACTGGCTTATGGTTAAAGACCGTATGTAGGCAGTGTGCATAATTCCAAAGGTGAAATAGTAGTTTGGACCCAGGCTTTGCTCCTGTTGACAGAAGCTTCCCAGGAGTGAATTTTTTCTCCCACTGATGGAAGTAAGGAGGATATTTTTGTTGATTCATCCTGCACTGTTCATCACCACCTCCCATGTCATCCCCCAAATTCTTTAGTCCCGATTTCTAGGGGGCTGCAGGAGGAATGGGAAATCTGCAAAAATCGCCACCACCTCCCTCCACCCCCAACCTTGTGCCCGCAGAAGTTCTTGATTAAATGACAATAAGAGTCTTCTGCAATTGGATCTTACCAAAAGGTTGACAGAAGAATGAGAGTAGGAGGGGAAGTTTATGTAGAAGGAATTTGCTGGCTGATTTCGGCAATTAGCCATCAGAATGCTTTTATTTCCATGTAATAATACTAGTATGGCTGTCTTATTTTCTGTTTCCTATAGTTGCAAGGCACCTCTCTATGACTTGGCTGCTCATGAAGACAAGGTTTTGTGTGTGGAATGGACAGAAGCAGGGGTAAGAACTTCGTCAGGAACAGGAATGGGGTGGAAACCGAAGTATTTTTGCAGCAAATGTTGTTTATGTAGTTGGATATGTGTAGTGATTTATAAATATTCATTACTTATGCAGTTCAGAACGGCAAAGGTTCAACTTGTGAAAGTGATTTATCTTAAAACTTCTTGAAAGAATGTATGTGATTTTGCAGAAACTTTGGGTTATGCCCAACAAAGTCTTGTTACTGCAAAGACCTGCCTGTGCAATGGGACTTCCTCTCCCTGTGTGCCCTGAAACCTGTTCTGGGTTTTTCCCCAAGCCTGCAGATGTCCAGTTGTTTTTTGTTTATAGCATTTTGTGTTGCTTCTCTTTATATTGTGGATTTAAGACATTGTGGAGTTTCTGTTCCTAACATTAAGGCAGGCAAAAGTTCCAAGGCACAATTGGCTGTATTAATCATAAAGGTAAAGGTAAAGGTACCCCTGCCCGTACGGGCCAGTCTTGACAGACTCTGGGGTTGTGCGCCCATCTCACTCAAGAGGCCGGGGGCCAGCGCTGTCCGGAGACACTTCCAGGTCACGTGGCCAGCGTGACATCGCTGCTCTGGTGAGCCAGAGCCACACACGGAAACGCCGTTTACCTTCCCGCTAGAAAGCGGTCCCTATTTATCTACTTGCACCCAGGGGTGCTTTCGAACTGCTAGGTTGGCAGGCGCTGGGACCGAACAACGGGAGCGCACCCCGCCGCGGGGATTCGAACCGCCGACCTTTCGATCGGCAAGCCCTAGGCGCTGAGGCTTTTACCCACAGCGCCACCCGCGTCATATGTCTGCTTAAAAAGCCAGAATATGAATTAGCTTTTCCCTATATACTCCTTCCTTTGCATTAAGCATCCGGAAATATGTGATACCATGCCTTGTATTTCTTATGCAAGTTTTGATGAAAAATTGTTTTTCCTGGTACAGTGGTACTTTGGTTCTTAAACCTAATCCGTTCGACTCCCGAAACCGTTCGAAAACCAAGGTGCAGCTTCCGATTGGCTCCAGGAGCTTCCTGCACTTAATCGGAAGGCGCGTCGGACGTTTGGCTTCCAAGAAACATTCGCAAACCAGGACACTTACTTCCGGGTTTGTGGTGTTTGGGAGCCAGTTTGTTCGACAACTAAGCCATTCGGGAATCAAGGGACCACTGTATATACGTTTTTACTTGGTCTAGATGGGGGGAAACTACAACAACAATAATTTATTATTTATACCCCACCCATCTGGCTGGGTTTCCCCAGCCACTCTGGGCGGCTTCCAATAAAACACTAAAATGCAATAACCTATTAAACATTGAAAGCTTCCCTAAACAGGGCTGCCTTCAGATGTCTTCTAAAAGTTTGGTAGTTATTTTTCTCCTTGACATCTGGTGGGAGGGCGTTCCACAGGGCGGGTGCCACTACCAAGAAGACCCTCTGCCTGGTTCCCTGTAACTTGGCTTCTCGCAGCGAGGGAACCGCCAGAAGGCCCTCGGTGCTAGACCTCAGTGTCCGGGCAGAATGATGGAGGTGGAGACGCTCCTTCAGGTATACTGGACCGAGGCCGTTTAGGGCTTTAAAGGTCAACACCAACACTTTGAATTGTGCTCTGAAACGAAATGAATGTTTCTGAATATTGTCTCATTATAACTAGATTTTTCTTCCTTGCTCTATAGTTGCTGTTGAGTGGTGGTGCAGACAACAAGCTCTATTGCTACAGATACCGAGCAGCCACCTCTGATGATGGAGCATGAAAACAAATGAAAAGATCATGAGAATGAACTCTTCTGCTCAATGTTCTTGCAACCTATCATACACAGCTGTATAAAATGTGTGATTTATGGTATTATAAATCTTGCATATTATACCTTGGGGCAACATTAGTTTCCTGTTCTTTGTTTTGAGGCGAGGTGGCAGGTTAAGGCATTTTTATTTTTATTTAAAAGCTTTCCCCCACTACACAAGCCATACGAACTCGAGTTGGTCAATTTTAACAGTTTAAGCCTTATCAACCTAATATGTGTTCATTAAAACCTTTTTATTTTGTGCAAGTATATTTAAGTTTTTTACTTAACCATGATGCTGAGCTTTCCGCCTTCCATTAGTTTCAGTGGGAACTTCAGGTGTCTCCCATGAAAAATCAGTCGAAGCTGTTGCCAGATGGAGAATGCTCAAGATTTCAATGAAATAAAATTGCGGTGTTCCTTAACGTGGTTGTAATGCCATCTGACATACTATTTTAAAAATTCAGGATTTCTTTTTAAAAGACTGTACAACTAGTTCCTCAGATACAACTAGTTCCTCAGATACAACTAGTTCCTCAGATACAACTAGTTCCTCAGATACAACTAGTTCCTCAGATACAAGGGCTCATTAGATTGCCTCCATGGCTGGAGGCAGTATGCTTGAATTGCAGGTATGGAAAGTGCTTCTGTCATCCTTGTTATGTTTGGGTTCTGCTTGTGGACTTGCCATGGACATTTGGTGATTGATTGATTGATTGATTGATTGATTGATTGATTGAATTTATATACCACCCTATACCCAGAGGTCTCAGGGCGGTTCACAGAAAAGATAAATGTGATAAAGCAGTGTTGGGTCCAGCAGGGCTCTTAGGTTCTTATCTGCATTTCTTTAAGCAGCAGTTTGTTATGCTGCATATTTTTTAACCAGAAGAGGGACATGTTTATGGCGTGAAGCTCCGTGGTTTAAAAATGCCTGGTGGGTTTCAAATTCTACATGCTATATATTTAAAAAAAACAACCCAGGTGTGGTGAGCCATTTAGGACTGCGCTCTGGTGATTGGAATGGCCCATTATTTTCCCTCTTGTTGGTATCTTACCTATCTTTGGAGACAATGGAGTGTGCCTCTGGGGGTGGAGAACTGCTGGAGAATCACAGCACCTGCTGTGGCTGCAGGGACCGGTAAATTGTAACTGCTGCCTCCCGTGTCGTTTTTGCTGTGTTAGCAGCCCTGAAGTGACCTCTGTAGGGTTCAAGCCTGGGCAGTGTGCTGTTCTTCTTTCTTCTTCGGCGATCGCTTGTGGCCGAGTAAGATTGCCTTCCATGAACACGGTCTGAGCGGTGTGTTCGTAAGTGACTGTGGAGACCAGTTCTGGATCCACACGTCCTTCCACGGTGGGAACATACCGTATTTTTCGCTCTATAGGACACACCAGACGATAGGACGCACCTAGTTTGGGGGGAGGAAACAAGAAAAAAAAATTCTGAATCCCAGAAGCCAGAACAGCAAGAGGGATCTGGCTTCTGGGATAGCCTCTTGGTGTTCTGGCTTCTGGATAGCCGCTGGGATAGCTGGTCTAGCTTTGCGCGAACCCTCCGGAGGGCAGCAGGATGAAGGCACCCTGCTGCCCTGGGGAGGCTTTGCGCAGCTAACCCGGAAGCTAGAATAACGAGACGGAGCAGTCTTGCTGTTCTGGCTTCTGTGAAGCCGGCACAGGGCAGCGGGGTGCCTTCACCCCGCTGCCCTGCGGAGGCTTTGCGCAGCCATCCCCAAGCTAGAACAGCGAGAGCACTCACCGTCTCGCTGTTCTGGCTTCGGGGACAACCTTTGAAGCCTCCCGCTGCCCTCGGAGGCTTTGCACAGCTAACCCCGAAGTCTCGCTCCCCCGACTTCAGCGAAAGGAACCCGAAGCCTTTGGAGCGCAGCACGAGGTCCAGGCTATCCCTGAAGCCTGGAGAGCAAGTGGGGTCGGTGCACACCGACCCCTCTCCCTCTCCAGGCTTCAGCGAAAGCAACACGTAGCCTCCAGAGCGCGGAGGGAGTGCTTCCTCTGTGCTTTGGAGGCTTCGCGTTGCCTTCGCTGAAGCCAAGGAGCCTGCATTCGCTCCATAGGACGCACAAACATTTCCCCTTAATTTTTGGAGGGGAAAAAGTGCGTCCTATAGAGCGAAAAATACGGTAGGTTTCCGGGCTGGAGTTGATCATGGTGAGGATTTGCCAAACATGCCTTCCTCTTAGCTCGTTTCTCCTTTTAGCCTTGAGTTCGTGCTCCTTCAAAGTCCATGACACCTTTGGTAAAAGCTTTTCTCCTACAGGAGTGCTCGCAGGCCAGTGTTTCCCAATTGTCCCAATTTCCCTGAAGCCATCAAGACACTTAGAGTGAGCAGCTGGAGGAGGGTGCCAGCACTGGGGGCCTCCAGAAGGAGACCCCCCAGCAGGCTCTGGAAATGCCTCTTCAGTTCCTGCGGGAAAAGAGAGGTTGAGTGCTGGGTTAAATCTTGCAAGGGTGCGAGAAGAGGAAAGAGCTTTGCAAAGGGAAGTCAAAGCAGAGGACATACCTCTTTGTCCTCCTCCTTTTCTGCGCCCCCCAGAACAGCCTCCATTGTCCTATGCAGGATAGCACTGACCATATTGCAGCTGAAATGGGGTCTCATGAAGCTGGAGAGAGAAAGGGAAGGGGTTAGATGCTGCGTCCTCCAAGTCTCTCTTGCCCCCTTCTCCCTCCTGCCTGCTTTTGCCCACCCAGAGCTGCTCCTGGAATTCTGCCCCACCAACCCCGCCCACCCCAAAGACCCCACTCACCTCATCTGGAGGAGGGCCGCCAAGGCCAGGCTCAGGGGCAATCTCTGAAGCACTCCAAGTGCCCAAAGATGTGCTGGAAGAGAGCAAAGTCCAACTCCTTCCAGGGGTCTCTGGAGGATGGCTCTGACCTCAAACGCCAGGCTTGTCTTTCCAGGGGATTGGCAAACCCATGCCGTAAGCCAGAAGGGTCCTCCTCTCCAGCAGATGCACAAGCCCTTCCCCAAAGCCCCTCTCTGCCCCTCCTTCCCCATGGGGGTCCCTCACACCACCCATCACTCACCATAATAGCTTTGACCGTATCCTGCTTGGAGCACTTCAGGGTTCGGAGCCTCCTGAGCCGATCTGCCTGGCAGTTCTGGATGACCTGCAGGAGGTATAGATGATCTTCCTCCAGCAGCTGAAATGCAAAAGTCAGGCTGTCAGTTCCTCATGGGGAGAGGGCTCCGCCGCATCTGATAGTGCAGAGTGCGGGGCAAAGAGCCTGGGCAGTGGGGGGGCAGGTCGGAGGGATCCACTCCCTGCTCTCGTTTTATCCAATACTCACCCCTAGGGAAGGGATGTGGAACCCCAGCACATTTGCAAAGAGAAGGACATGGGGACAGGGCATAGCTGTCAACCGTCCCTTATTTGGCGGGAAAGTCCCTTATCCCAGCGCTGTGTTCCGCTGCTGTCCCTTATTGATGATGTCCCTTAAATTTCCCGGGTTTCAAAGGAAGCAGCTCCTCTCCCTCCCTCCCTGCCGGCCAGGGAGGAGGGAGGCTCCAACTGTGTTGCTTGGCTGCGTTGCTCACCCAATAAGGAGTCTAAGAATGACTGGGGGGTGGAGCTTGCATGCCTTGTGCCAATCAAATCGGCCGCGTTGCCTGGGGACTCGCCTTTGCTCAGTGCTTCCCAGCAGAGAGGTGACGGTGGCTTTCCTTGCTGCATCCCCTTTGCTGGGTTGCTGCGCTGTGGGAACCACCGCTTGAGGCTTCGTTTGGCTGCTGGCTGGGCTTTCTGCCTTTGGCTCGGAGGGGCTCAGAAGTTGAACATACCTGTGCCTGGAAAATCCCTTATTTTGGCTGTTGATCCCTTATTTTCAAGGCTGCTGGTTCCTTATTTTCAAATCTGTAAGTTGACAGCTATGGGACAGGGGAGTTCATCCCTGAGCCCTTGGCAAGGCTATTCCAAGAGTTTTCTCCTGGATTCCAAGTCCTACAACGGGAGGGACACCCCAGGCCTTGGGGGCCAATCCTGGCCTCCTGCCCCCACAACATGGCTCCCCGGGGAAGGTGCCCCTCCCACTGACAACTGCCCCCCCGCCTTGCTCTGCAGCCCAGCCCCCTGCTTCCTCCATCGGACCCTACAAAACGGGGTGGTCGCTAGGGGGCGTGTTGGGTTTCCAGATGCTGGCCCAGATGGACCTTGGGTCGGATCCAGCTGACTGGCTCTGTGCTTCTTTTGACTAGCTGCCCCCCAGCCCATTCCTGCCCTCCTCTGTCCCAAACAGGAGGGCCACTTGCTGCCCCTGACACCACGGGCTGCTCCAGGCTTTGCAGGGGGGACACCCTGTTGCTGTGGCCAATCAGGCGTCTTAAGCACCTGAACCTAGAAGAGACGAGCAGAGAGAGCGACTCAGAAGCTGGCAGCCCCAATTCTTTGGAGGTGTGAGAAGGGACATCTGGTCCAATTCCTTCCATCTCTCTGCAGTTCATTGACCTGAAAGGGCATCACCAGAGCTGGAAAGAGGCAGCCCAGAGCACAAAGGGCTGCCAGAGAGAGAGAAAGGAGGCCTCAAGTGCTATGGGTTCAAGAGCTCTAGCCCAAAGGAAAGACAAGCATTGCCAGCTGTTAAAGGGCTGCTCTGCTTCGTTGTCTTAGGATAGCCTTGCCCTTCCTGGAGAGGGTGGAGACCCCTAGGAGGGTCCTCCAAGCATCAAGGTGTCCCAGAAGAGGAGCAGAACATGAGAAAAGTGGTGGAGTCTTCCATGGAGCCAGAGAAACCCCCAGGAAGGGGGAGAAGGCCGATGTTGTAGGGCAGCTGGAGAGATGCAAAATGGAGCCAGGCAGAGGTGTAATGGTTGGAGGGCTGGACTAGGAGGACCTGGGAGAGCAGGGTTTGAACCCCCACTCAGCCATGAAGCTCCCTGCTGGACCTTGGGCCAGCCTAGCCTATTTTGCAGGGCTGCTGTGAAGATAACAATTGGTGGCAGGGAGAACCATGAAGGCCACCTTGAGCTCCTGAGAGGAAAGTGGGCTAGGAATGTCCTAGTAAATGATGAAAAGGGGAAGGCTCCACGAGTGTGGAGGAGCTGAGCTCTCTGGAGAAGACTGGCTGGGTTGATTTCCAGAGAGTTAAGGCTGTGCAGAGGACCCCAGGACTCGCCCCCCGCCCCAAGGAGAACAAGAGAAAGGGAAGGAATCCTACTTACAGTCTGCACATTTTGTTCACAAAAAAATCCCACCCTCCTCTCTAAACTAGTTAACTAGCTAAGATGCCCACCCAAGACTAACTCTGACCCCAGCCCTAAGCCTAACCCTATTCCTATGCTTAACCTCTAGCTACTCCTCTATGCACAAAATAAATATATACAAAATGCACAAAATAAAAATGTAAAATAAAAAATATGAAAACAAAAAACAAACTACAAAGTAAATTTAAATGTTAAAATTCAAAAGTAAAA